GCCGTTCAATTATTACGTAAGCCGATTTATTGCAATTAATCCCCCCCCCCCCTCTTGTCAGCAAAAGTAAGCAAAGCTCTCAAAAATAGTACATAAACGTATTCATTTTTTGTAGAAATTCTCGAAAATGCATTTTCAAGCATAGACATTATAGACCACAAGCCCATGAACAAAAAATACCTGTGAAATGACCCTGAATTACGCTTAGAAGGCTGTTACTATATCTGAAAATAGCTCTGAGCACTATGCCGTCATTTCTGAGCGGTACATGTGAGTACGTGAGTGAATGGACTTTCTCATGTACAATGGGGGAATTTCGACTAATTATTAATGTACGGCTTTGTTATAAGTGTATAGATGATTCAAAATAAATGTCGAAAAACCTAGTGCCGTACAAAAGTGATGGTGCCGGAAGTCGGTGCAAATTTTTAATTCGACGACAGTTGCAGGAGCAATATAGGTAATTTATTACTGTACGGCATTTGTGTCATTCCTTTTGGACACATATACAGATACTTTACCCGTAAACGCCGTACATATTTCCAGCGGAGCGGTCGAAAGCCAAGGGTCGGAACCCTACCCCTACACCCATATACCCTAAGGTCATTGTAAAATGTACGGCAACATGTTCAAAATATTATTTAACACGGACAATAATGTTTTATAATTATGCCGTCCAAATATTATAGTTAATATTTGTGTAATTAAATATTTATCGAAATTTCAGGATTTACCAAGTTCTTACTGCTGTAAGATCAGAGAATAATGTACGGCAACTAGTTTTTTTACATAATGTTACTAAATATTACCGTTGTACATTATAGCCGTTCATTATAAATGGTAACAAATAAAAATATTATGATAAAAAATATATGAAATTTCCGAAATTTAGATGACTTTTCAAATGCTCCTAGAGTAATATGGGGAGTAATATTTTCAAAGATTATTGTTATTTTATATGTAACAAATATAAATAAACAAAAAAAACCAGATGCCGTACATTTTACTCCAGATTATTCTTTACAGCTGATAAAAACTTCGACGACGTTTGAGGTGTCCCTTAAGGTCATTAATAACTGTACATATCTGAGTATACTACCATAAGGCTGTAAAGTATATTTACAGCCTTATCGTACCAGCAGAGAGAGGTAAAGGAAAAATATTTTTAACAAAAATATATATAATACAGGGCGTCCCAAAGTTATGAGACATGAAGGGAAAGTACCTTAAATATCGCAGATAGGGTATTTTACTAAAAGAAGACTTTATGTTATTTATAAAAGTTAGTAATTCTGCATTCAAAGATTTTTTTAAAACTACTTGCCTCGTCTGGAAATCGAACCGGCTTAAATTAAAAAAAAACACCCCTACTTTTATGATGCCAATCGAAAGAATGGCCAAAACCTAATAACTTTTCTAAAGTAACAGACTCGTAGGGGATTTTTTTAGGCCGAATACGATAGATAATGTTTTTAATTTGATTAAAAAGATATATTCACGCTGTTCCTTTCTTTTAAAATACTATGTTACTTAAGAAGAGTTATTAGTTTTTGGCCATTCTTTCGATTGGCATCATAAAAGTAGGGGTGTTTTTTTTACATTTAAGTCAGTTCGATTCCCAGACGAGGCAAGTAATTTTTTAAAAATCTTTGAATGCAGAATTAATAACTTTTAAAAATAACATAAAGTCTTCTTTTAGTAAAATACCCTATCTACGATATTTAAGGTACTTTCCCTTCATTTCCCATAACTTTGGGACGCCCTGTATTGGTAGGCGGTGGTAGCGGACTATCGAAAGTGTACGGCATTTATCTTTTATTGAAGATTGTCTAAAGTATTAATAACCTGTGTTATTGCCGTACAGATAAAAGTCACCGGAAAATGACTCTTTTCTGAGAAAAGTAATTTGCCCCATACACCTATGTGTTCCACAAAAAATGTACGGCATGCTGGAAAATGTTATCTATTTGTGAAGTACTCTCAAGATCATTTAATTTTATGTTGATTCATATCATCATCACCTATATGCTAATCAGACATATGTTGCGACCCTTGGCTTTCGACCGCTCCGCTGGGAATATGTACGGCGTTTACGGGTAAAGTATCTGTATATGTGTCCAAAAGGAATGACACAAATGCCGTACAGTAATAAATGACCTATATTGCTCCTGCAACTGTCGTCGAATTAAAAATTTGCACCGACTTCCGGCACCATCACTTTTGTACGGCACTAGGTTTTTCGACATTTATTTTTAATCATCTATACACTTATAACAAAGCCGTACATTAATAATTAGTCGAAATTCCCCCATTGTACATGAGAAAGTCCATTCACTCACGTACTCACATGTACCGCTCAGAAATGACGGCATAGTGCTCAGAGCTATTTTCAGATATAGTAACAGCCTTCTAAGCGTAATTCACGTTGGGTCATTTCACAGGTATTTTTTGTTCATGGGCTTGTGGTATATTAGACAATGTGTGGGTAATATGTGTAAAAAAGTAAATAATTACCAAATAAGAAAATCAAAGAACCCCTACCCCTATAGTGCTTACGTAATACTTGAACGACCCCTTTGCAGTACATATTTCCTAGCTATATCGCGATACTTATTCGTTGAGCGAATAAGTGCCTGTGCACTTTAACCCAAGAGTCTCCGGTACAAAGAGTACAAAATCAAAGTTTACAAAATAAACACTCTTATATTTTTGCCGTTTATTTTTTTGCGTTTTATTTTTTTCCACCTCGGCCCTAAATAACCTAATATATTAAAGTATAGTATTTATTGAATCAATTGGTTTTTCTATTCGCAACTAACAGTTGCTCTTACGAAGCAAATCGTGAGGAAACTACTTTACTGTTATAAATCAATAAAACATATTTATGATGATGTGTCTCTCAACTTTGTATGCCTAACGTTTCCATACTCGGTCCCACCCCTTCTATGTGTAAATTATTTCGCCGCAGCACCAATGGATAAAAAATAATTCGCCGCGGCTTTATTGAAAAATATTTCTAAAACTTTTAAACTAAAATTATCTTCAATGCAGTCAGCTAATGAACAATTAAGATGGAAACGGTAATACATACACCCATATATTATTACACATAATATATAATCATGAACCGATAATATTACTATCGATGACGGCGCGTCTATTACATAGTTGCGGATTACGATAGTTACATCAGTGGACGTCACCGACAGAGAAAGCATGACGTCAGTTGCGCATGCGAAGAAAGCAAATGCGCGTGAGTCGACCACTCTTACTTTCGTAGGAGGTCGCGACGTCTGCACGATAGCGAAAATGACACACTTTGTGTACCCACGGCAACTGTCGCTTTTTCATCCGGTATTCAGGTCTTGATTATGAAATCGAAACTTATTGACTCATTACGTATTGTACGCAATATGTGCTTTCCTGTGGTTTGAGAATACGAACGCAACTGAGTTGTTTTAGTTGCGACTGAAGCGTACGTGATTTTACGTGTGATTTCAATTATTGGCTCGTTGGATAAGCAAATTGAATGGGACTAAATTGAAGCTACACTTTTTGGCTTTTTGCCGCGATGTCTTGTTTTAAACATGCGTGTACTTCTAACTTTTTAGTTTGAGAAGCTTTTCAGTTGTAAAAAATTCGTATTGCCACGCATTTCTATGCTGGTCACATATAGACTTCTGCGTTGAATGTTTAGTACATTAGGACACGTCTCGCGTTACACACCGAGACACAAGGCTGTCAAAGGCAGTCTGTCGTTCGTGACCCGTTGACTGATTTTAACCGAATCCAGGTCAAGATCTTTAATTTACTCTGCTGTAATATTGAATGTTTCTAATAGTTTCTTAACTGCATTAACAATTGAATAAATTTCATATTTTATGTTTTGAGAAAATAATTATTGCCTATATTGAATCGTGTGATCATAGATTTTCAGTTATTAAAAGTTAATTATTAATATAGTTGCTATGAGTTGGTTTGAGACATGCGAGCTCTTCGATAAATATTTTTATTTAGTATGGCTGTAGGTATTTAATTCGTGACGTACGAGACTTATTGTGAGACGCCATCGCTGTAAAGAGTCCTCAAGATTTATACGCGGCCTAGAAAGGGTACTTAGAACTAGGGTCAAAAATAATAATTTGCGCAATTGCTCTTAACTTTTACCGTACGTTTTTATCTACGTATGTGTGCATAAATGTTACACCATACCGAGTAGCTATTGATGCAACAATATTTTTCTTATAGAATAAATATACATTGACACCGTTTACTGAAAATAAGATAGTGAATTTGTTTGTTGAGTACTGCAACGATTAGATTTGTTACGTACAGCAAATGCTCTTTAGACAAGAGCCAATGCTATGCGAACGTAAACATAAGCTCGTTGTTCGAGGCAACCCTGCCCTGCTGCGGCACTGTGCGCAACTGGGTCAGTGGGCCGCCCCCCGCGCCGTTCTTCGCCCGCGCGGTGGCGCAACCGCGCGAACGCGCACTAACATAGACCTGGATCGCGGGAAAGTGGGTCACCGACTCACTTTCACTTATTACATGGGCTCCTAATCGTTTTCCATTGTGCGAGCGGGCGGGCGGGTTAGCGGGGCGCGCATGCGGGAGGCACCGGCACGCGCGCCGTTGTCGCCGGCCGGCCGCCAGTCGATCGCGGGACCTCTCTTGATAGGCACGTGTACTGCTGCGGTTACAATACTTGTCGCGATCGTAACGACGCGCGCCGTCAACAAACTCCAACAACAGTTTTCGTTGCGATAGTTTACTGAGTTCGGCGCTCGGCGCCTTCTCTGTTCTAACCCTAAATTCTTATTGAACAAAATGTGCTGGATTTATGTGCCTCTTACCATAGTGCTTGAACAGGTGCAGCCCGCCAGCGGCAGATAGTGTTGCGGTCAGACCGCCAGTGAACTCAGTGACTGTGTGAACGTTGTTTCGGTTGAACGCCGTCGTAGGGATTTATAATAAGTTGCCGCTAAGTGCGGCCGAGCATGACGATGGACCAGCAGACAGGCCTCATGTCCCTCAACATGTCTCCTTTTGATCTAAGTCCCGGTCCAGAAGGTTCTGGCTCTGGCAGTGGACCATCAGGAGCCTCACAGCAATACGTGCCCCAAGGGGCTGCATACCAATGCACATCAGATAACCAACCCTTCGCGTACGCTAACTTGGACGCTTCCTATCTGTTTCCGACAGGTCCTGGTGGAGAATCTGGAGCGTACTTACCCGCAGCTGGGACAGTGTGTGATCAAACTGACACAAAAGATGTGATAGAAGAACTTTGTCCTGTTTGTGGTGACAAAGTTAGTGGATACCATTACGGTCTACTCACTTGTGAATCTTGTAAGGGTTTCTTTAAGAGGACCGTACAGAATAAGAAGGTTTACACATGTGTAGCAGAACGTGCATGTCATATTGATAAAACCCAGAGGAAAAGGTGTCCCTTCTGCCGTTTCCAGAAATGTCTGGATGTTGGAATGAAACTAGAAGGTAAGTTTAGATATAAGAACCTTTTTTACTATTTTAAACAGAGGGTATTTGTAATTTGGTTTATTTCCATAAATCATTGGATGGGTGGTGACTGTGTTAAGACTTTAGAGAACTGCGACCTTCGCCTAGTTTTGATCGTTATCTTATATCTTATCATGAAATAGATATAATCCAAAAACCCGAGATATATTTAAAAAAATCTAATAAATACGTTATTTATCTATCTTCACAAAAAGTTCGTATGAGAACTTGCTCAAATTGGATTAGTTTTTAGTTAAGTCGACTTTCTGATTTGCTTAACTCCATTGCTCAAAACAATTAGGCAATAATTGTACGCGGTACGCCAAACCGTTACCTAATGTCTTCGAATTGAAAAACTTATTTGGTTGTTCCATATTAATTGAAGTGATCAATATCATTATGATTAGTCTAACAATTTCCCCTTGATATTAACACATTTCATATTAGATCTGCCTCATTTTAATACATGGTTGAATCTAATCAGAATGAAAGGAAACAAAGAATTGTCGATATTTATTATTACGTTCTGAAATTAAAAATAGAAACTGGGAAGCTGTATTATTGATTCTCATAATCGTTTCAATCTAGTTTTCTACTTCTTGTGTCATTTTCTATCTGAATACCTTATATTTCAGCGATAACCGGGGTAAATTCATTGAACGCCTTTGACACTTTTCAACAAAATTAATTTGCTTTACTTTCATTTAGTCAGCCTTGTCATATTTTAATATGTTATTCATTGTTTTTAATGTTGTGTATAATTGTGTAATTAATTTTCTATGCGTAATGTAATTCGCATTTAGATTTTATACATATTTTCAAATAATACTTAAATTTTTACCCTATATTGATTAATCGTCACTCGTTTATCTTAAAAATGTAATTAGTTTTTATTGTTTTCACAGATTGAGTTAAAAATTTTACTTGTAGCGTAATTACTGTTAAGTATTCACTAGTTCGGTGATCAAATGGGGCGGAGTTTGAAGCGCAGATCATTCTAAATTTAAAACACGCTCTGCGGCATAGCGCCCTGACCTACTTGCAAGCGGGGCCGCGATGCGGCGCGCGCGCTGCCTGTTTGTGCGTTCATGTACGCAACAGATGATTGTAAATGTGTGCGTGAGCCACTCGCCATTGCGCGTTTCGCCAGATGCTGGGATGTTTGCAACATCTAGTACTTCCATTGAAATGTGTATTGATAATATTTGCTTATTTATACGTCCAAAACACTGTTTGGCTTTCCCAAATTTGACGAAATACCAAAAGAAAGTTTATTGTAATTATTTGGCTAAAATACATACATAAATGTTATTGAATTGTTAATATCTCTTGTCCATTCACTTCACACGCATATATGCATATATAAGCAGTTTCCCTTGTGGGTTGAGTCATTTATTCAGAATAGTTTTTCATATATATGTTTATATTATTATCTCCACATACTTGATTTAGTCTTGACAGACTCCATCCATCATGCATAATGCGCAAATTTCAGGGGATTGTATTTTTAATACCCTAAATATTGTAGTAGATATGTAGTAGTACAGAGGCTTATGTGAGATGGCACAATTCTCACAAATCGGTTGGTGACCCGAATAGCGGCTGTTGCGAGAGGTTCGCACCGCCCGACCTGTAACCAAGCAAGCCTTGTGTAATGCATAAACTATTTTACTGTTATTTAAGTTGGTTTAGACATTTACTTTGTATCTAGTATTCTTTTAATAGTAAAACCCTTTTACAGTATTAAAAATTAAACTGTTCTAAGTTTGTCGCTTTGTGATATAGCTCCAGTACAAGCCACTCAAATATCTAACAAGTCCTCTCCAATCGTCTTATATTCATCATCATCTGTCATCATAACAAGCGGTTATCAAACAGTTTTTAAGTAGTAGTTTCGAGTGAAGCATACTCAAGCGACTGTGTCGTGTATTTCGACACAATCGACCGTTCAGTGGGGTGCGCTGCGCAAGCGTCATTTCACAAGACGCCTCGCTCGACCTGTCGCAATGGACTACCCAAATGTGACCTGAACACGTATCACGTTACAGCTTAAAAACTATGCATACAGTTTTCTATGTACCATGTATTCCAACCACTCCTAATACATTGGATCTCAAGATTGCAAACGTTACGAGGAGGATGAAACTTTCAAATCATGCATTTGTTTTATGTGAAAATGCAGCATTAGAATATTTTCAAATAAACGTTGCTGATTCTCAAACGTTTGCCCACAAATAGGTGTTCACAGTTCACATCACCTTACGTAATCAGAGGCGTCGCCGCGCTACGCTTGTTTCACACAGCGACAGTTAAAACGTAATCAGTATTCAGGCTGATGTTCTATTCAGTGTTTGGTTTTATAGTTCTCTATATTTAATTACGCAATTTTATCACACCATACGTAAATGACTATGATACGTAGTTTGCCAAAGTCTTTAGTTGTATTATGTATTTTAATTCTAATTAGGATCTGATTAGAGTTTACACTTAAGTTACTTTTACCATAATCTTAAAATTAGATGAGATTTGATTTATGACCAGTAGCACACCTTTGAGAGAAAGGACCGGGTTCAGGCGTTCGTGGCCCGCGACAGATGTTAGATGACAATAAAAACGCGCACGCCAGCCGACTATTTCGGCGCGCTGCCTTGACCCGAATTAAGCGTTTCGACAGAGCGGCCTCGTAAACCGGGCCTTTCTATTTTTTAGGCATTACCTTATTACGGCAATTGTAGGGAACTAGTTGAAAAAAAAATGCTTAACAGTATATAAAAGCCAGGGGTATAAACGGTAAATGCTTAACAGTATATAAAAGCAAGGGGTATAAACGGTACGTAACGTAATAATCGTGTCAGAAATTCAATGGTGGACATATAAATGTTAAATGATAAAGCGATTGATTTGTGAGCGCTTTATAACTCGAGAGCCAAAAGTGTTTCATTGATTTTGTAATCAGAACAGTAGAGATCTTGACATAGTTGGGTACCTCAACATGGACGATGATTTATCTCTGTTTTCTTGTGTAACGATCACAGCCATACTATCTAGTATCTACTAAGCGCGATATAGTAGGTGCGAGCGGGCGTTCGGGTATTCGGCTATATTCGGAGTTGGTCGTACGTAACGAGGCGATGAGCGGGGGGCGCCGCCAGCCTTGACCAAGTTTCACCAACTCGTCGGTACAAGGAGCGTTCCCCACCTCTTCCCGTCCTTTCGGAACATACAATTTTTTATCTCGTTGACACGATTACTTCATTTGACGACCCTGATGTATATTCCAAGGTCATATCTCAGTAATCACTGATTCGATCTTGTCATGTACTGATTGTGGCTTGCGCCGTTTAAGGTCGCTGCGGATTAATCTGCTGTGTGCGTGTCGCTAGGGTCGACCTTGACCCATCTTCAGCAACTAGGCCATATCTTAGCCGCAAATAGCTTTAGAACGCAAGGTAAACATATTCGTTTGCTATTTTCGCACTGTTTCTTTGTCACACAGTTGTGCTTTTAATTTGTAAAACTGACCTTGACCTTGATCTACTTATATTGTGTTATAAGTGCCTGACCTCGTTTCCAATATTATCAGCTACTATCGCTTGCTCATTATAATACAGATATATTATTCGATGCACTATTTCATAAAAATTATGTTCTCTACGCCATCGAAAAAGCTACCAAACGCAAACAACATATCGACTCAACTTAAGTTTCGAACCTAGATCGTGCAAAGGTAGATGTAAAATAAGTTTATTTTATTTACTATAAAGTACGGTGGAAACATCAAATAATTATACATAAATAAAAACTAATCAAAGACAATTTGTCTGTTTGGTTTATATTACTCAATTTTTTAAAAGAAATAACTAAAATACTCGCATACACAATATAGGCAGTGAATGGAAGAAACCGCAAATGTGCTGGTATTAGTCATGATAAAGTAAATTAGTTGTGCTTCACATAATATCCGGCTAAAAGAATAGTTTCATAAAACCTCATGAAAACGTCGTTGAGGAAATTAAAATTAATTGATAACGTACTGAATTTATAAGGCATAATAATAGTTATGTATCAATAGCTCTCGAAATCGCTTTACAACAAATAACTAGTTTAAGCAGTAATAAGGCATACATACGACACAAAGGAACTCGGCGTATTCACGAAAGGTAACATTTGCCAATATTACGAAGCAATATTTGTATGATGGTTTTCGTTACATTATGATCAAAATAATTTAATCTGTAGAGCGATGTATGTTATATTTTTTTAGTGCTATTGTTTTTACTAACCTAAGTACCCACTTATATAATTTAAATTCAATGATGACGTATTATTCAAAAGTAATTGTTCTATCGCATGCTAATTCATGGCTGTGTAAAATTTTAAAAGGAATGTTGGTTCCGCAATAGAAAACTAGCGTAAATTATTTTCAAGTATGTAATTTACATTATAAGAGAAAGAAAAGAATTAAAACCAGTTCAATCAAATTGTGTCAAGGGACGACCCTGTAAACCTGTTTTGACAAATGTGTGGACTATCAAATGTAACAGTTACGTTTAGTTCCTTTAGTCGTTGGAAAGGAATTTATTTATATTTAAAAAAATTATAATAGTCAAACAGGATTTAGGCTGGAATAGATAGGCTTTTTTAAAATTGTAATGTGTCTTTAAGATGCCAGAATAGCAAAAGTTAAAAATATTTTTACCCGTTCTGCGGTGCGGTGGTAAGTACATAAATTCTTTGGTGAAACAGACTGCAATACGAAACTTGTGGAATTGCACACAACAACGCTCAAATCCGTTACGCTTGGCATCTCTCTTGGATTCTTTGACGTGCCCTATAAGTTTGTCCTTTTCGCACACAGGCGCGTTGGCTACAATAAAAACTGGTTGTTATTTTTAACTCGTGGGTTGGGCGAGTCGGCAAGCCACTGAAAGCCCCCTTCCGTTCCAGGTTCAGACTTATTTATTTACAGTTTGTAACAGACCCGATAACTTGTCTTTTACCTTTCTTATCGTCGTGTCGAGCTTTTTGTAATGTATTTGATTGGGAAATAAGAAGTGTCGAGATCACTTTAAAGCATTCCAACTCTTGAGCCTAGATGCTTCAGGCCATGTTTCATTATACTTTCGTATTGTTTAGCAATTTCAAGTTGGGTGAGAAATGTGTTAACAACGTCATGTCTCGTTTGAGCTCCTAGTTCCCTCTGCTTCCCGCGGGCTGCGTATCCGGTATACACGTCGAGGCGCGTATTAATTTGAAACATATGTGTATATGTAAATTATGAGAATATATTTGTTCTCATTCTAGAGGCACCCTTTTAGACACTACCTCTCAAAGAATCGGAACAAGCATAAATTGCTGATATCGTGTGAAGCAGCCGCTTAATACTTTGGAATTTTGCCAATATAATAAAGTACAGTAGTCTGTGTGCATTATGGGGACGCTGTCCTAAATTTCAAGAATGTTAATCAAGTTTTATCGATTCATAGGCTACGATAATACGCTGTGGGCTCGATTACCACGACTGTAGTATAAATATAGAGTATCCAAGATTGTTTTGATCAATAGAAGACTTTTTAGTTTTATCATGGTCTGAACATATCCAGAAATGTATTCAGTTGCGGCAAGCAGTTATCTTTTAAATTATTGAAGCAAAATAGGAAGAATGTAGCGTAGGTATAGTGAGCTCTCGAAATGAAGTCTTATCTTTGCAACGCTGATAAGAAATGAAACCGTATTAGTCTAATTTTATACCGTAGTTTACAAGTAGAATAAGTCGTTTTAGTTTTTCTCAAATTAAAATTTTGTCTCGGAATCAAGTACTATATTGAGTTTTATCCTGATGTTTGTACCGTGACATCATTCAATCACCAATCAACGTACTCGATAACCCTTCGTTTCTTCTAAGTTTTCTTGAAGAGAACAACAAAATAAGTTGACGAAATATATAATTATACATAAACAGTCACCATCATTATCCAATTCGTAAATGTAAAGTTACCTTTTCCTGCTCTGAAAATTTAATATATTTTTCAATTTTCCAGCTGTGCGAGCAGATCGTATGCGTGGTGGCCGCAATAAGTTTGGACCCATGTACAAACGTGACCGTGCCCGCAAACTACAAATGATGAGACAAAGGCAGATTGCAGTACAAACCCTTCGCGGCTCCCTCGGAGATGGCGGGTTGGTGCTTGGATTCAGTTCACCGTACACCTCGGTGCCTGTGAAACAGGAGATACAGATCCCACAAGTTTCTTCGCTGACGTCTTCTCCTGAGTCGTCACCAGGACCGGCACTTCTAGCAGCACAGCCACAGGTGCCTCAAGTACCGCCCCCTCCAGCCCATGACAAGTGGGACGCTCATTCACCACACTCCGCCTCACCGGACGCCTTTGCCTTCGACAACTCAGCCACAACGGCTGCCACGCCGTCCAGCACTGCAGAGGCCACCAGCACTGAAACGCTTCGGGTGTCACCCATGATACGAGAATTCGTCCAGACTATCGACGACAGAGAATGGCAAAACTCTCTTTTTGGCCTCCTACAGAGCCAAACCTACAACCAATGTGAAGTGGATCTCTTCGAGCTAATGTGCAAAGTCCTGGATCAAAATCTGTTCTCCCAAGTGGATTGGGCGAGGAACACCGTGTTCTTTAAGTATTTAAAGGTGAATTTCAGATAAGTATAAGTGTCCTATCCCGAATCCTTTCAACCCGTCCGGTGTACACCAAATGCTAGCGAATTTTGCGATTGTATTTGCGATTTTTTTGAGCTATGCGAAGTATTTTTGTGTTCTTATTATCATAAGATAGGGGTATGATTTTGATAATAGGAGAGCGTGTGACGCATAGTGGTGCGGTGCCGTTGGCAATCGATACTCTGCCGCCCGCGACGCGCCGCAACTGGGTCAAGTTCCCACGACAAGCATGCCGCCAAATGCTATTCGATCTATAATAACGTTCTTAATTACATTACTTATCACTGAGTAGGTCAACGAGGACAATAGTATTTTGTGAACGTCTCCTGTTTAATTCGAAACTGTTTCTTACTTGATATTTATTTCCTAGTCGACATCCATACATGCAGTAGTTTCCGGTGATGTAAAAATATTTATATTCCAAAAGAATCTAACCTATTCATGAACGTTGTTCATGAATACAAATGATCCCGTGTCCAGCGATCAATTATGCGTATTTGTACAGGAGTTCAATCAATCAGAAAAAGCCAACGGAGAAGCTAGCTCGCGCTCCGTGGTCGCCGTACGCTTACGCAAGACCCGTAACCGGTCACGTGGACTTGCGACGTTGCCGCGCCGCGTGTTTCATCTTCTCGCTCCCACAGACGGCCTCTACTTTGCAGCTAGCAATTTTAATTTGTGCTAAATGACTATGCTTGTTTACGACGCATTCTGAGAATTAGGACGGCAGCGTACGAACACGAATCTCAAATCAGACAGATTTAAAAGTGTGTTTACGGAAATTAAGAATATAAGTATATTGATCCGCGTACGTTCCAGGACACAAATCTTTCAATACAATTGTTTATAATGACCTCATCGGCTTTAATAGAGGGCTAGATGGTTGAGTAAGAGCTTACAAGATCAATGTTGATGCTATGCTTTCTCCAGACGGATATGATGTAACGGAATGGCGTGCGGTGCGGCAACGTCGTACTTTCATCGGTGCTCTTGACATAGTGCCCGTGGCCGAGTTGCCGCGAGAAAGCACTTTTTACCGCGCTCGTAACACTGCTAACCGAGACGTAACTAGTTAACCGGCCTTTCGTTGCTTTCTCTTACGTAACATCCAACTAGTCACGATAAGTTTCGAGTTTAGGCGCATACCGCATTGAGTCGAACACGCATTGACGTCACGTCAATGCTTAATGACCACTTATCAGACGAGCGATCGAATGAACACTATTGAGAATTCTAAGTTTTCTTTGTAAATTCTTGACACAGCATAATTTACACGGTCTATGTCGTGCAATTTGGTTAAGTATTTCGCCTTTCTATTACATCGTGCCACATTTTGCCAAGATATTAGCCAAGCCTCGGTTTCAAAACCGCTCATAATAACAATGAGCCTGGCAAATTATACGCTCTACATATTCTTTGTTAAATATACGCTATTTATTATGCACATTAAAACTTATATAAATTAAGTAATAACTGATAAATTTAAACGAATTTGTGAGACTTGTTGGAATCGAACAAAAACCTATTAACGTAAGTGGGCAAAAAAATATATTCAATATTATGTGAGTTTTTCACAAATTTAACTATTTAATCTGCGTGACAAAGGCGTGGTATATTTTAATTGACGTATTAGTATGGTATCTGGTACTCGCATGTCGACGCGATTTTGACCCAGATTTGCCTTGTGCGGGCATCACGGATAGTCAATAATTAAAACACATCTTCTTACACGGGTTATAAAACGCCCAAAAATTAACAGTTGAATAATAATGAAATCGTTCTAGATGTAACAGATTTCGGTGACGGATGTCGGCCTGATCTTGATATTGTGTAATCGGTGGTTTCTAAACTTCAGTTGTGTCGTTTCGTAAACTTACAGCCCTCGAAATAATGTAGGTCGTCGCGTTGTATTCGGTTGGTTTCGTATAATGCATAACCAGTTGCGTCACACGTCCTCAAGATCCTTAGAACTTCCGGTGAACAGGGCGGTTCTGCCTTGCGAACGTCTAATACAACTATATAACCGCTCTGTTCCCGATACTACTACATTACAAAATTGCTGTTAAAAAATTTCCGTTTAGAACCGCATCGCTTTTCAGGTTGACGATCAAATGAAATTGCTGCAACACTCGTGGTCGGATATGTTGGTGTTGGACCACCTTCACCAACGTATGCATAACGGGCTACCAGACGAAACCACACTTCACAACGGGCAGAAGTTTGATCTCCTCTGCCTCGGTCTTCTGGGGGTGCCTTCACTGGCAGACCACTTCAACGAGCTCCAGAATAAATTAGCTGAGCTCAAATTCGACGTACCTGATTACATCTGTGTGAAATTCCTCCTGCTTTTAAACCCTGGTCAGTATTTCTGTTGTGTTATTTAAATGTTTTTATTAATTTGTGTGATTTATGTGCGCATTGTGGCGAATTTTATTTCTGTTTGATTTTTATGAAGATTTCTGACTTCTTTTATATGTTTGAAGAGTTCTCTTCGGGTTTCAGACGTGCGGGGTATCGTAAACGTGAAATGCGTCCGAGATGGTTACCAGACAGTGCAGGCTGCACTTCTAGACTACACACTTACCTGCTATCCCACGATACAGGTAACGTATGAAGTTTAATGTACCTAAACAGTACATGACAATCAAACATATAAACAAAACCAATAAACATTCTACATACTATTATATAATATCTCTCCCATAATACTCTCCTAAACTCGTAAAAATGATTTATGTATTACATGAACGCAATATAACAGGCGTTTAATTTAAATGTTCAAAATAAGCAATTTGAATACTGAATTTCACATTTTAATGTTATTCTACCTATGTGTTATTATTATTACCGAAAAACAAAACCATATAAAAATAAGTCAATTTTTTTTCCTGTTACCTGCTCATACAACTATTTAATTATTTTTGTAGACTTTATCGTATATTTAATTAACTACATACGTTTTTGATACTATTAATGTGGCTTCGTTCAAATTGCTTGTTTAATATACACAGCATTAGATTTGATAGCGAAACTATCAGAAAACTGATTCGTCGTAATACAATGCAATATTTATATCGGTTTCATTTTAACACTGTTATTGAGGAAAATTCTAACTGCATATAATTTAGTATTTCTGATATTAATTATGAAAAAGGATGGATACAAATGAACATCGTGTCGGTGACTAAAATAAAGCTGTAAATATATAGCTTCTTATACTTATATAAACTTTTGTAAACACATTTCTGGACGTTCTATCTTTCCCTATATGCAAGTACGTTATTTGTTTCATCCAATAGTCCATAACTGACTTTTCGCCTTGTTAATAATCAGGCCGCACGATATAGATTTAAAAATTACGGATTATCAACTGGTTCAGAAGTTATGTGAAAAATCTTTTTTTTTACACAGTTAACATAAATTTGTATATGTAATATTAATTTTCAGGACAAATTCGGCAAATTAGTGATGGTGGTGCCTGAAATTCATGCGCTCGCGGCGCGAGGCGAAGAGCACTTGTATCAGCGACATTGCGCAGGTCAGGCGCCTACACAGACTCTACTTATGGAAATGCTGCACGCTAAACGCAAGTAAGTTCCCTTTGAGATTTACGACCCTTAATTTGTCATCACACAACTATTTTGGACAAGTAATCGTATATAATGATGTCTTCTATTCAGTTCCAAATAAACCCGCGGATCGCTGCTCAAAATTTTCATGGTAATTTAAATTTTAATGACAGCAATATCAAAGAATTTCGAAGTCAAATCTCTATACAAATATACATTTAACTAAGTTGTATAATCAAAATGTAGTTCATTGTTACTGTCCATTCGGAGATGTGGAATTCCAAATATTCGATAAGCGATGTCATGCATCTTGGCCTGTATTGCCATATTATTGAATATTTAACTAAATTTGTACTTCAAATAAGTCCTAAAGAACGGAATAATGAATGCTCGTATATTTAAAAAAAAGGCGAACTTAAAAGTAAATATAATAACAAATAGCAAGCCAAGCCTTGTCTTCAATATTATTTTTTTCGCAAAAAAAATGCTATGTTAACACTCAAAATTCCTTTTTATCCACTTATTTAAACAAACAAATGTTCCTACACACAAAATACTACCTCACAAACTAATAGTATGACAGTTGTCAAATTTATACCGTTGCCTTATGAAGATTAGGGCAAACTAAAAATCATTAATTAATTTAAAAAATTAATTGAATACTAGTATTAAAGCCTAGCCCTTTGTGTCAGCCTACAAACTTTTTAGCCCACCAATTTATGTAGCTATATTTTTTGTTAAACACGATTCAACTTATTAAAACAAAATTATTAAATAGTAACATACCTATTTAAAGCAGTCACTCACGGACTCACCTGTCATATGCCAAATGATTTTTGACAGATTACAATAAATTGGAACATATATTCTTAGAATTCGTTTCGCTTCTATATTCATATGATTAATGTAGAACTTGATCGGACGCGATTTGCTCTCATTTCAATAAATAGATTTCGTATAAAATATACTGAGTGTTAGACGCAACGTTGCGTTTGCACAAGAAATAATATAAATTCAGACTGTTTAAAAGATATGGTAAATGTATTATTCTAGGCCAAACGGTGGTGATATGGTTAACCGGAATGCTGAGCACACGTCAACTCTAGACAGATTGTATGTTACCTATTATATTTATATGCAATCATCATTTATAGAGTTGCCAGGCAAAAACCCAAATATAGCTAGTATATTTTATGCAAAATTTTCTTAATTATTTATATATTATATAAAACTGGCAACTTTATAGTATATTAATAATTTGCATTTCGCACCAAATATATATAGTACGTAATAAGATAAATTTTTGCAAGTAAACTGAATTTTTACAAATTATTTTTAATAAAAATCCAATTAAATTAGTGAAATGCAAATTAACTCATTTTTTAAATAATATTTCATCTCATAGCTTATTGCACACACAACATATATTTTTATTACATTAATTTTAGAATATAATAATTGCCATTTTATCTTTAAGGAAATATTAGTGTATGTATTATTTAATTATTTTATATCAAATCCAGTTTTTAACAAAGATTATTAGGAGTCATTATTTTTTTCTGACTCATAGTAGATTTAGGTTTTATTACCCTCTAGGGTATTTTAATAAGTACTTAGTCTTAACAAGTCACTGTCTAGACTTCACCTTATACGTAAAACTGTCTAAGGGTATTGTTTTAGTTAGAGAACTTTCATCTTTTTCTGTTAATTGTATTTACACATGATGAAAAGAGACAGAGAGAACTCTAGTTAAAACGGTTTAGTTACAGTCTAAAACGCCAAAAAACTACGAAAAAACCGACGAAAGTCTTGAGAAATTTTCTATACAATTTTTATTCCACTTGGAAACAATAACTAGGTCGTGTCAGTACGAAGAATACTATAAATTAGATTAGTGGGACGAACAGATCTCGCCTCGCCCTATTTATGCTCTGCAATATTTGCATACGTCGTTTTTAAAATATTTTCATTGCAATTCGAGTGATGTACTCAGAATATTGTGCAATTGAGAAAATATTAATCATATTTTTTAACACTTTGAATCATATTTATTTAAATAGCCGGCACGTTTTATTTAAGATTTTTAAAATCTTACAGAGCCATTAAGAAATCTATGAGCCAAAAAGTGAGCCTTGTTCCGTCAACTCGTAAAAGCCTTAGACACTGTATTGCGGTCATAGTCTAGTTGCCAAGATTGCAGTGACCTACTTCAATTTAATTTTAAATTAAATTCTTTATATTTTCGTAGACCTTCATTTAGGCTATTAAGTTTTAAATTTCTTGTGTTTATGTCAGGTGCGGTTTCCTGCCCAACGACACGATTGAGCCGCATGCTCCTATATAGTAAGCATTAAAATATTGTCTCAAAAGGCACCTTTTGCACTAAAAAGTGGATTGTTTCAGACACCAACCGTATTGGCTTGTTCCAAGGAATAGATAAATGAATTGGTACTTGAATTAGCATGTCTACAATGAGATATCCAGACAAAATTCGATCAAACATTTGTTATCTATTCCGTGGTTATAAATATAATTTATTTCAAAGTTCATTTAAATGTCATACATACTCTATCTTCAGTCTTATTTGTGAACTAATATGTTAAAAGTCGAGATTGTATAAATTCATATTTTAATATTGTTACTTTTATACTACTGTACTTATTTCTGAAACAACCTGCTCTCAGCACTCTCACTTAATAGCACTAATATTTCGATTAATTCATGGTTATGCGGCTCAAACGTTACACTGCACTTTAACCTCATAGACGCTTGCAATTAACAGGTGTCCTGGTGACTGGTTAACATCATTTGGGCGCTTTGTACGCAGACTAAAAAAATTAAAATTCTTACGACTGTACTTCAAACCATTCGATTCCCGAATAAGTATCTCGGTTTGGCTAAAGTCAACACTTATCTTTGACGAAAATAAATAGATTCAATAAGACACGCAAATTTTTTGCACACGTTCGCTTCTTAGCGCTATGTCGATATGTAAGAGTGAAATGGAATTGATTTTATGGAAATTTAATATTTGTTAGTCTGACTACATTTTGGCAAACCTCACGTGACTGAATTGTATCCATGGTATAAACTATTAAATAAAATAACATTGTAAAATCTAGTTAATACTGTAAATTTTTCCAGATCTTGAAACACCATTGAAGAGGAGCAGGTTATTATCGAGGCTCCTCCAGCATCAAATGAAATAGCTACTACAAAATATTACTTATTATTGATTTAATTTAGTTTAACTTGGTGTGAGTTATGTATATTGTGCCGAGCGCCATTAGGCGTACCTAGTCCCACAGATTTTATCTAAATGCAGAAATATTTAACGTCGCGTAGCTATTTATTTTCCGGAATCGGATCTACGTGGTGTCTTTAGAAATTGCGTGGTCTGTAAATATGTTTTATCAAAATTATAACTTTCGATTTAAATAAGCTTATTCCGGTGCATGAAGGGAATTAATATACATATTTTAGGAAAACGTCTGTGATTTTAAACGAAAATTGATGAACCATTATGTTAGTGTGTTGTGTAGATGTTAGTTTTAAAATCATGTGAGCGGGGAGACCGCTTTTCATTCATTTAAATATAAATCATTTATTACATAAATATATTAATTGTTTATAAGTAGAGCACAGCCGTGTTCTTATGAAGTTGTTAAGACGGTGTTTCATGTTGATAATGTAATGTAGTTATTTGGCTGAAGTTATTTCAGTTTTAAGAGTTTATATTTAAAAATCTATAACCACAGGTATATTATTCAGATCATCTTTTAACTTTACATTTGTTCAAAAGAGTTTTAAAATCTAATCTTAATGTTGTATAAAATTAAAATATATATGAAATTTATCGGCCGTACCAGTACAAATATGTAATTATACCTAATCTTTGTAAATATTTAAATAGCACATAACAGTGGAAACGCTAATTCTATTGTAAAGCCTTAAAAATCATAGATTTTTAAAAAGATGGGTACTAGCGTCAAATGCGAGGAGACAATGTATTTTTATAAAGCATATTGTTCTTTATTAACATATATAATATGTTAACTGAAAGTACATTATTTCGTATTTTTCTAACATAGCGTAATGTAATCGAAAATCATTTGTGTGATACAACTTGCGTTACAAATCTAATTTGAGAACGTTTTATTTAAGGCTTTCGCGGATTTCAATAATTCAATGTGATTGTCGGTTTGTTTATTTCGTTTCGCACTAAGTGCCACATCCAGTACATAATTAGATTTTATGAGTCTTTTCACACGCATACTGTGGCTCTTAAATTTTTATATATAGTTAGGGATTATTGCACCGTTTGTATTTAAACCGTCCAGTGAACTGATTTAATAAAATCTTGCGGTCTCGCGTCAATTTAGTTTAGAGTTCATTGGTGAATAAAATTTAATGTTCCTCAAAAGTTGCCAGATCGGAAATATCGTTTTAAAGTACAGTATGGTGCAGCAGGAAACCCCGTTGTATATATGTTCCGTCGCTGTTCAGAGATATAATTTTATATATAATAATAAATCCGAAAATTTCTTATACTCGATGCTTTATTGAACGCAAAGCTGATCTGTGATGGTATGAAATAGTTAGGTACATAGGCTGTGGGTTTTTCCTTACTAATGGGGCAACGATATTTCACTGCAGACACCTTGAACATTTAATAATATTAATACATTATCAAAATCAGTTTTATCCAATTTTTTGTCAGTTGTAGATAATTATTACCTTCGAATTTCACTTAACACGAGTCAAAGATCGGGCGCGCTTTTGGAGAATTTCTTTTTATTACACCATTTTGTGCTTCTTAGCACGCGTTACCATTATTGCAGTATTTTAAACAATTAAAGTCAATAAATTTGACACAATCAACGTACCAATTATATTTTATAACAGTATTTATTTTAATCAGTTTTTGATGTGGTCAATGAGTGCCATTCCCAAAACAGTTGAGGTTTAGGAGACAACAACGGAAGCATGTCAGTGTTCATAACGTTAAGACAATTAATTTTCACCCTAATGTAATTTGATTATGATTTGATATTTAAATAATCGCTATATAGATAAAATAGTTTATGCTTAATTAAACTACTATATCTAAGTTAGATAACGCAACTTTATGTTGTATAGTATTTTGTAAGTAAGTGTTTTATAACGTCGAGTAAGAGAAGTGTTTAATTATTTCGGTGAGGTGAAATACATACCAAATTGGCGTTGGTAGGCCCACGCGGTAACGGTGTGGTGCATTGTTGGGATTTGAAAGTTTTAAGGCAGTCGGTCTTATTCGTTCGCTGGTCACCGCCGTTGCCGTAGGGCACGCTTGTTCGAAACGAAGTCTCCTGTACATTACGAAACATTTTACTACTATGCCTGGGTCGGATTTATTGTTTCCATTTAAAATCGTCACACTTCATTCACCTACACAAAAGTGGAATCAAAAGTGGTGTGAATGGTAGTTTGAATTCTAGTTGTGTCAAAACAACTATTGAATCGCGATAAAATGACAATATTTTATTTTATATTTAAAAAACATTGCTGTCGGGTCGGGCATAATCAATGTTACAGTTGGTGGCGCCATCTATTACTCAGAACTTAAGTTATCCGTAGTAGAAAGCGCCACGAAACGGTCACCTTGTGAGAACATTGTCGTTTCGTAGTGTAAAGCCAAATCAGTGATTCAATTGCGTACTACATGAAGTGTACAATTGAATTACTGCGAGCACTTTGTTCTGTAGCGTCCGGCAGCCTCGATTGCTTAGTATGACGATTTAATGTATTCTATAACTACTTAATCTTGGTTACACTTGTTCCTTTAATCACGCTTAATTCAGGAGAATACGAACTTTGTCGAGTGGACTTTGAAACACTAAGCAATCGTGGGAAGGGCGCGTCACACATTCCAAAATAACAATAATCTTAACGTAATAACGCACGCCAACAAATGCGTTACAATTTGTTAGTTAACCACTTTGTTGTTCATTAACGATAAGTTAGATTTAATCTCAGTCGATGTTGTTTAATTTAGTTTGTGTATAGTATTTTTCAATTAAGTTTATGTGAATAACGTGAAATGAGCGAATCGACACGCCTAAGCCTGGAGGGTTCATGATAGCTGTTAATCTTAAGTACCTAAGTGATTTTCTTCTTTTGCACCTAACGTACTTTTTTCGCGAAGCGCACGATGCGTGGGGTTGTTGCAGACGTCTAAAAACAATCTATTGCAATTCGCATGTTAGATGTCGCACTCCCCTTGTATTGTATATTGTAAATATAGATAGTTCGAGGTATACAAAAAATGAACTTAAATATAATTTGAGCTGAATGCAGCTCCGTTTAATGTATATTGGATGTGTTTTACAATATGTATTTTCGGCCTTGAGTTGTAATTTTTGTATTTAAACTAAGCTTCATAAATTCAGTACGCATTCGCCCCTTTGTTAACTGAACGTCATCACATCACACGAACTTTACAAGTGACCACATCACACGAAAGCTAAACATATCGTACTTCAGTGAACAAAGGAGCCCGAAGTCCATTACCTCACATTTTTGTACATTATTGTTATTATCCTTATTTGTATTTCGAGGTGTTAAGTTTGAACAGCGAACACAAAATGTGTTTATAGATGTCGACTTAGATACATATATGTGGCGGTTTGTCACCGCCCATTCGGTGTATTTATTTTCATGGTGTTTAATGAATATTGTGAGACGCACGACGCGTCGCCGGTGGCGATGGCCGCCGACGGCCGTTACTGTAGAAATAAATAATATTTTCGTTTAAATTGTCTTTTCTTTCTACCAAACTGCGCTTGTTAAGAAATTTATTTTAGTGGTAGAAATTTTAATGTCAGATAGTACGAAGCATGTTCTTAAATTTTTGTAGTTATTCATCAGGCTTGTACACTATTGAAAAATATATTTATTAGTGAACACGATAATAATTATTTACGCTTTTAGCCTACCCGTCCTGTCAGTTTTAAATCAAAGAGCATGGCATTACTATGTAATAGAGACTTATATTTAAGCACATGTTTCCCTATTTCTATTTCCTAAACATTTAGCTTTCTTCTAGTTCTAATACAAAACCATGATAATTATAAAGTGATACTCGTTCCCAATACAATAAAACCACAATTCCTTCAACAATATTTATTCTACATTTATAAAAACAAATCCAATAAAAACTTTACTTAAAACATTAAGGTTGCATTCTAAGGGATCCATCGAGTCTAATTGTTTCTCCATTTATCATTGGGTTCTGTATAATACTTTGCACTAGCAAAGCATATTCTTCTGGCTGGCCCAATCTTGATGGAAATGGCACAGATGACTCCAGCTGCTTAATAGCTGCTTCCGGCAATTGTTCCATCATTGGTGTTCTAAATAGACCTGTAGAAATGAATCTATTTAATCCATAACATTTCTAATTTACTTCTATAAGAAGTAGGTAGAGTATGTCACAATTGTAAATTAAATGTAAACACGTTTTGAAATATATGCAGCCATCTAGTTCTTTACACTCGTATTTTTTAAAGAGTTACAGGGAGCTATTTAAGGCGCTTGGCGATTTTTATGATTTAATGGATATAGAAACTAATAATGTATAAGATAATGTTCAATAAGAAAACTTAATTCTGGGAATTGCTTTGCGAAATTTGTTTCAATATTCAGACAGTTAAGATTCAGTAGGTTAATCATTTTCTAAATGAAGAGCCCTAAAAAAAGATATATGTACATAATATTGCAAACATCGCTAATGTTATGGTCACAGCAGTGCAATTTTATATTTTTTGTTTAATTGGCAACACTGTTACGTCAGTGTAATACGACAGTAATCATCTTGATACTTTATATGAAAAAATTTAAATTAAACGTTAATTTTTTTTATATATGAAATACGGCGCAGGAAAATATCTCTTTCCTCACAGACTTATAAGGTAAACTTTTCCAGTGGGATTCAAAGTGCGGAAACTGAGTTCGCCAAACACTGCAACACTCTTAAACAAATAGGAAATTTCAAATTTATAGTAACTTTAAAATATTGAAACTCGCTAAGGCAACTTTTACCCTTGACCCCAAGTGTACAATATTATTAGCTGCTAGCTATTTTATTTACCTGGTGCTATTGTCACGACTCGAATGCCTTGCCTAGCAAGATCCCGGGCCACGGGCAGCGTCATACCAACAACACCAGCCTTCGACGCTGAGTAAGCAGCTTGACCAATCTGTAAATTACATTGTCCATACAATATCTAATAAGAGAAAATACACTATAAGTTATACATAAATTTGTTTTTTTCTAAAATAAATTGCTTATAAGACTTAAGCTATTAAGACCTTTTGTAATGTAAAGAATTATAAAAGATCCTTTAAAGTGAGCTCTGCTAACTCATTGTTAATGTACAATTTGTATGCATGGTTGAAAAAACTTCATACCAGAGATTGAGGATTCGATTCCTTGACAGTTACCTAGTAGGTATTTTGTTCTTATTATTGTTAGTTCATTTATTAATGTCCATAGAATAGGCAATATGTTGCTTTTTCTTACCTGACCATCAAAGGCTGCTATACTGGCTGTATTTATAATAACACCTCTCTGACCATCAGCATTAGGAGCATTCTTGCCAATTAATCCAGCCACAAGTCGAATCACATTAAATGTGCCCACTAGGTTCACCTTTAATATAAATTATGTTAATTTATTTCAAAGTCGTAGTCAAATCATTTAGACCAACTAAAATGGAACTTTTGAATGTTAAATAAAATATAAAGATGATTCTAGTTTTTCTATTACTACAAACCTCGATAGTTTTTTGAAAGGATTTTAAATCAAATGGTTGTTCTTTCTTGAAGTTGTATATTCTAGAGGCAGTTGCGATTCCAGCACAGTTGACAGCTACATCTAATCTTCCAAACTTGTCCACTGTTGTCTGAAGAGCATTCCTAATATCTTTTTCTGATGTAACCTGTAATGGTTATTTTTAGTATATTAAATAATTTTATTTAACAAAGAATAGTCTGTGTGGCTTAATTAATTAGGTCATTGGTTTAATTAATCAAAGATTTTTTCTGTTTCAGAGACATTTGAAAACCTACTAAATTATGTATAACAAATGGGTACCACATAACATGATCATAAATGTAATGAATTTTTAAATAGATTTTCAGTGGCAATTTTTCCACTTAATGATTTTGTTAATTTCGAAACTATTCATATTAACAATTGTAAAAGCTATAAATTTAAATTTACATAATTATTAATAGCTATAAAAAAGGCTGAAGATTTAATTAAAGTATTTTTTGTAATTAACACTAAGGATAAGTTAATGTATGCAAATTAGAAGCTATTATTATGTATAATTTAGATACGGTTATCAAACGGCATAATATTAAACAATTTTAAAACAGGGAAATGGGCATTAGAATGTTTTTAGTGTAACATTTTATGTCCTCTGTATTTGTTGACTAATAGTTATTTTATGGAATTAGTTTACGGAAATTTGGTGCCAGTTCTACAAAAAGAGTATAAACACACAATGAGGCACAACATACCTAGAATAAATATAGGACTAAAAAGGTGGTAAGTCATTTTATGATATGTTTTTGTAATACATATGTTAACAAAGATAAGTTGACGATAAAGAAAATAGTAAAAATGTATTACACTTCCCTAACACTATGACGAAGGCCTGTGAAGGCAAAAAATCTAGAACTTTTTGGTATTAAATACAAGTGAATAAAAAAGCATAAAAAATATCAGAATTTAGAAACTCAAAATAAATCTAAATTTAACAAATTTATAACCTTCCGGAAATATTGAGTTCAGGTACAGTATGGTTAAGTAATAATTGGGATTTAACACTTACATCTACGGGAACAAATGCTGTATCATTTCCCAATTGCTTGGCGACGTCAGCCCCTGGACTTGATGGTAGATCACATATTACAACACGTCCTCCTTGTTTTAGCAACTGTTCAACAGTTGCTTTTCCCAGGCCTGACGCGCCCCCCGTGACGATACCAACAAGACCCTGTCAACATTTCACGATAAATTAAAGTTAGGTATAGTATTAGTGTTCTTATACTACCTGGCTACTTTATTAATATTGATATTTGAATATTATATACAATGATTTGGTGGTTTAATCAAGACATGAGTCTGCGGTCAGGCGCTTTGCCTTGGTTGGAGCTCGTATTTTTTGGTGTTACGTAAGACATGTCCCAAATATTCAAGTTTTCTTTTACTAACCTTTATTATCAGTAATTAATATTATTTTTAAAGACATAACCTCAAAATACCTTGAACATATTAACAAAATACACGCCTCTCGACTTCGGTGAAGATAAAATGAGTAAAGAATTACGCAATCATTTTGTCCTTGTTACAGTATAAAATTATCAGACTTTTGATAACAAGTACAAATTCCTAATTATCATTTCTCATTTGTAAACAATAGCACAGTGCACTGTACCCCAATAAACCCATATACCACAGATTATTTAGTTGCAGATACCTACTTGTACTGGCATAAATTCTAAAAACTTTAGTTAAACTATATAAAGTGACTTCCCTCTAATAAAGTGACAAAATTTTATAGTCCCATTATAATATTGTCAAGCTATACAATACGAATTAACGTTGGCTTATATTATGTATATTATAATCGTGGCCAAAGAAAAGATCTACAGAACACATTTTATGTTTGATTTTAATAATGGCCAGTAAATTTAGGGATGTGACATTCTGCATTTTTTAGCATGAATCATGAATAATCGATTAATAAATAATCGATTTTTCTTAAAAAAATAATCGAAGTTTTATTATTAATCGATTTTTTCCTAATTTTTGAATTAATTTCAAAATAAACACCCTAAATATTTTATTTTTCATGGTTTTTTAAATTAAAAATAAACAATAGAAATTATAAACACAAATTAACGTTTAAGAATAATCAAAATAGAAATTAACTTAATCTCGTTTTGATAGATTTTGATAAATGCTGAGTGTATTCCTTTTCAGTAGCACATTGCAGTATTTTTGTTGTCTTTTTAATTGTATGTAGTCTTGTGCTGCTGAATAAATTTATTTTACTTTTAAATTATAGTGTTCCATTCAAACTTGAGTTTTTGTAAAAGTAACTGCTTTTATCATCCTTTTGATGTTTTACAAAAAAACATCAATGTATCGAGTATATCAATACAGCTTCAAAGAATCGGGTTCAATGTATCGCATTGTAAACATCGTTGTGTATCGAATATCCCTAATAGTTCGAGGTCCGGGTTATAAAAGACCAGACATAATGTCGGGAGGTGGCAGATAAAAAATCGATTATGATTGATTTTCAATTATAAAAATAATCGATTATTTTAAATATAAAAATCGCGTAAAAAAATCGATATTTACTTTTAAAAAAATCTATTAAAATCGATTTTTTTAATAAACGATTATTTTTTCACATCCCTAGGCCGGTTCAATCTTGATTTGCATTGATTTTGCAGCTCTTTAATTAAATAAAGAAGAATATTTTTTTTATATCATTAAATAACTTAAAAAAAGCTCACGTGTTACCGATTGCGTGACAAATAATTCTTGTATAAAAATTTATTATTACCTCTAACTTGCCTTCTTACATTAATTACGAGAAGACAAATATTGTTTTTCCTCCTGTAAACAAATAAGTATAGCGGTACAAAAAACACAAATCTCTTTATTTGCTGTTCTATTGTTGTTTCCAAACGGACGTTATTAATTATTATTCTATAATTTGACCTACACATTTAATTTGATGTAATAAAACGACTCCAAAGTATCTACGACAATCTAGTAAAAAAGTCATGAGCGTCAATAAGCTTTCTCACTCGGTCATATACGTACTAACTACTAAGTCATTTATCGCTTAGACTTTAGATAATCAACTCTTACTTTTTAAAGCAGTTCGTAATCTTGTCAACAATCATTACCACCGCAGTTTGTTATTTAAACATTTGCCAACAAGAAACTTAACCAAATAATTTTGTAGGATGGATGGTTTACTTCTTCCTTCAAGTTAAAGGGCTCGCCTAATCGTGTGAATAATGTCAAGTAATGTCGTCTAAACTAGTGAACAAAAATCTTTGGTCAAGAAGTTGTATACCTTAGCGGCCGGAATAAGTTAGTTAGTGCGTCAGGGTATCTCTTTGTCGTACTGAAGTGTAGCCGAAAATTATTCGAAGTGTAGTCGCTACAGACAAAAAATTATACGTCGAAATGATTACATTCTCTTTCGGTTTCCTTTGCTCGGTTAAAAAAGGTGGAAATGCCTGGAGACGGTCGACGGATCATCGACATACTCCTCTGCCTGTTTCCTTTACCATGCAAGCGATAAAAAGAATAATACAACGGTGCACAGGTGGTATGGCCAACACAGGCCTGAACTTATTATAGGTACGTTTAAAGTAAAAAGTATTTCTTGAGGTGCTTCTTTCCTAAAAAAATCCTATTGCTATAATCGGTTAAATTAAAAAGTTAAAAATTTTGGGTTTCAGCGTCTAACGTAAAGGGTAGGTATTTAAAGAAGCGTAGCTAGGTAATATGGAATCGGTTTACTTTTACATGTTAGTTATTCAGTGTGAAAAGTCTATATTAATTCTTTATTTACTTCACATGTCAAGATAATAAAAATCAAAATTAGTTTAACGAGATGACTCATGATAGAAATGGTGATCAAAACCAACAGAATGTATATTAGTAAGTAGGTATATCAATACATAAATAAAAACAGTTGTGTTTAATAATATCACCTTTAATGATATGTCCGTTACACGATCACATTACTAATTTGGCTGATTTTTCAATCGGAATTTCTTCAAGTTAGGAGCAGAACTATCGTTTGAAAATTCAGCCTTTATACATAGACATTAGTGCGATTAAACATGTATATATATTTCATAATTTTTCATTCTTAATATATCGATGAGAATGGGATAAAATGCTTCTCATAGATAGCACCACTCTTTACCAAACTTTTAAAAGCCTCCATTTTATATTTCGGTTAAATTTAATTAAATTAGTAATTAATTAGAATAAGTAATTACTTATTCAAGCTTCAAAATGTCTGTCTCCATGTAACATTGTTTAATAGATCTCGCAATTTGCACATACACTTAATAACTGCACACATATTTTTGTAGACTACGATCGATTTTTTTACTATAAAGAAAATTTATGCTACAGTCAACAGTGCTGCCCTCTAAAGTGAGTTTATTTTTATAACTATTCTTTATAATTTTTTCTAGATTAAGCGACGAACATATACTACTAACACTTATATTCTACTAGATAACATTTAATATTTCGTAAAAGTACTTCTAACTCAAACCATCTTTCGGCAAGTTAACAATTTTTAAGAATAATTAACGTAATAAGACATTTATTTTATTTTAATTGTAGATATAATTTGTGCAACTATTAAAAAGTAGGTATCAAGAGAATAAAACCTTTTTAAAAAATTCAAATAACAAAATTCGGTATATATCTGAAATTTCTAAGTTGTTTTCTCATTGCCTATTTATCGTCACAGTATTTTAACCGTAAATGTTGATTTAATAAGGAATTTATGTGGGTAATCGTACACTAATATTGCCCTTAATAATACAACATTATAATTATTAAAAGCATTTAATTCAGATGACTCCACGTCGTTAGCTTTGTTTTTTTTATAAATAATAATGTGCGTGAAAAAAAAACAATTACATTTTAATCTCTCTCAAATATATGATAAATGTCCTGTCACTTCTAAACCCTTCGATCATCCAATTAATTAAATTTCTGTATAAGTCACTCCACCCCCTTATAAATCAGGTATAACTTCGAAATATTAATAGTTTAAAATATTGAGAGTTCCAAACAGAGTTATACACTGTCTAATTATAGGACAATCTAATTTATTTTTGAATAGACATCTATATTGTGCATCGACATGTCATAGAAGTGCTATCACAACACATTAATACTAAAGTTTTATATGGATTTTCTTTGATCGTGAACATTTATTAATAGACTGATTGAGATATATGGATAAACCAAGGCAGATATTAAATTGCTACAGTTTCGACAAATGTTTTACTCAAGTGTCAGTAAAGTTCGAAAATGTTTGTAGGAATCTTATCCATAAAATGTGGTTGGAGCATATGAATTTTAACGAAAAATCCCGGCTTTTGCCGTCAAAGAAACGGTATGTAGGCCCAGATCTCTCTGATGATAGACTAACCTTTGCATAAGCGTGTTACATAAATAATAGTTTTGATATATAAAAGTATAATGTTGTCGACATTTTCATTTATAACTTATAGATTTACACGATAAGAAAGAAAAACGTTTATTAAAACATTTGCTTGTGCCTTAAGAGCCATTGAATATCACAAAACGACTAACAAATTAAACAATTATTTCCACATTATTTTACTTAAACCTATTTTAAAACAGTACTAGTTTTTGGTTGCACGTATTTTATTAAAAAGCTTAAAACGAAAAACACCCGATTTGACTTATGGAATGTGTTTCCAAGTAATATATATATTAAAAGTAGAATCTTAGCCAGATTCTATAACATTTATAATAATATTAAAATACCTAACAGCAGGATCTAAATAATATAGGCGACGTATGAAATGGTAAGTTTACGTTAAAAATGCGAAGAAATGCATAACGTCTTTGGTGAAACCAGAGCTACCTGTTAAGATCTTTAACCGTCCGTTTTTAAAACAGTTACCTACTCTTTCATATATGTAACAGAAATCGGACCGTTGAAATGACTAGTTAACCGCTTACAGCCAGGTACCATTCATTTCTTTCTCGCTCATATGTGGCTTTCACTTGCACAAGAGCAGGTATATCTTTAGTGTAACTTTAAGTAACCTTCTCTTTCTATTCTCATTCCAACACTACTATGGACTATAGCAATAACGCTAAATTAGGTATTATATTAGATATTATATTAGGATGCGGTGTAAAAATCCTTTCACGTCAAAAAAGCAGCTGATGGCTGTAATCGGCATTTTAAGGAACAAGTGTTTAGGGTTTACTCTTAAAGAGTTGATCTATAACGGATGGGTCGGCGAGGGTCGACGTATCCCCAATATCTGTATCACCCACCGCAATCTTCCTCAATATGCGTCTCATGATCTTCCCGGACCTTGTTTTTGGAAGACCTGGAGCAAACTGTATCGCATCTGGTGCTGCAAAAGCGCCAATTCTTGCACGAACGTGCTTTTTAAGGGCGTCTATGATAGATGGGTCTGGTTGGACTCCGGCGTTGAGAATTACGAAGCAATGTAGTGCTTCGCCTTTTTGAGGATGTGGGCGGGATACTACAGCTGCTTCTGAGACACGGGAATCTTCGGTAAGGACACTCTCCACTTCTGCTGTGGACATGAGATGTCCAGAGACATTGAGCATGTCATCAATACGTCCTGTTACCCACAGAAAACCATCTTCGTCACGCCGTGCGCCTGAAATAACAGTTGTCTTAGTCCAATATTTTAGGGGTAAGTAAGAAAACAAAAACATAATAAAAGAAACAATGTTATATTAACATAATCGTAGTAATTGAAACATACACAGTTACATAAAATGTGAGAAAGTTTTTATTATTATACGTTGCTAACAATATTAGTGCCATTTTTTAAAGTATGTTTGTAAACTTTGATCTTGACTAAGATTACAAGGACGCGTCTTGGTGGATACTGGTACATACCAATAACAATGTACGAGTATATTGGTTAAAACTAACAGAACACATACCATCTCCAGTGCAGTAATATCCCGGGAATTTGGAAAAGTACACACTCTGATAGCGCTCATGGTTTCCGAAAAGAGTACGCATGATGCTGGGCCAAGGTCGGGAAAATACCAAGTACCCTTCGCCAGGTCCTTCTATAACTTTTCCGTTGTCATCCAGAATTGTGGGGGCAACACCGAAGAATGGAAATCCCTTGGGGAAGATAAATTCATAAACAGATTATTCACAACAAGTTTTTAGTTATCAATTAATATTTATATTATTATCGTTTGTAAAGTTTATGTAATATTTTATTATGATAACAACTGTCGTTGCAACACATAGGCCTCCGATTTCTGGATTAGCCTTCTGTGTCTGACACGCGTCATCGAGTTTTGGGTATAAAAAATGTCGGTTTCCCTACGTTATTTATACTTTTACCGTATAGGTAAGTCTTAATCGAGCATATAAGGAGGTCCACTCTATTTAATTTAGAGATAAAAATATCATACTGAATATAATTAACAAATGCTGATGATGATGATCACAGACTTTCATTGACGGGGCCGACAATTTAATGTATACTATCTGATAAAACCTAAGGTGACGAGTCTTAACTACAAAAAAAACGCTAGTTTACTAATAATATAATACGTTTCGAATATTCTGATATCAGTGTATACGTACAGCAGCTCCAGGCTTCATAGGTGTCGCTCCAGGTAGACTTGTCAGCACGTGACCGCCAGTTTCAGTCTGCCAGAAGGTATCCACAATTGAGCAGCGTCCACTTCCCACCAGGTTGTAATACCAGTGCCATGCCTCGGGATTTATTGGTTCACCCACGCTGCCCAATACTCGTAGAGATTTCAGGTCGTGTCTAAAATGATCGTGTATCAGTATTGGAACCAGGAGTAATTCGTACATTCGATTGGCACACAGAGAACCGGGACCTCCAGCATATACGTTTAATAACCACTAAGCCATGGGTGTGCCAGCTAAATATGCCACTCCACGCCAGCCTTGGCAATAGGGGATCTGGGACTACCATCGTAACCCAGTCGTTCACTAATTAAATTATAAATGACTTACTGGTCGGTTCCTGGATCGCAAGTGAACTGTTAAAACTATGTTTCAATATATCTAAGTAAAACTAAATAAAGCTTAATACTATAATATTTGTTTAGTCAAAAATATATTGATAATATAAAGGGAGAAAAAAAGTAATACTTACTTGGTGACATTTTCTACTCCGAATTTCATCAGGGATCTGATGGCTGTTGGTGCAGTATACATCTGGGTAACCTTGTACTTTTGCACCACGTCCCAGTAGCGATCGTTGTCCGGATAAAATGGCGAACCTTCAAACTGGAGATGGAGTATTAATTAGAACGATGCGTAATTATTCTTATAAAATATCTTTGTGTTAATTTAAAATCATATTTCCCATCATCATATATAAGATTTTATTCATATTTGGAGTGCCTTCGTAATTATGCAACTAAATGTACCTACAGTACCTATCAATAGAGTTAAATTATATTTGTTTCATTCGAGTTTTCACGATCTCTAGCTCTACAACGAGTTAATACAAAATCTAAGAAGCTTTGTAGGTAACATGTACATGTTCTAAATCTACATTTCAAGCAAGTAATTTTTAAGGTGAAATAATTTACTTTACCTAAAATTAAAGCTAGAACCCCTCTCTCTCTAGTAATCTCTTCTTGTCTTTACATTATTCTGATAAATTCAGATCCTAACGCAACTCGTAAATAATGTACGATATCGTCAGTAATTTAAATCCCAATTCAATGAAATTACATATACATTTAGGCGATACAGTGTAAATTCTGGGTTTAAGTTCACCCAACATTACACTCGTAATCGACCAATCACTGGGCCGGGTACAGCGAGGTCGCACATAAACGCGACTATTATCTATAAAACAATTTAAATAGTTTTAAGGTTCAGGTTGACCTTCTTGATCTCCTATCGGAAATTGTTTTCCCAACTTAACTAACATATCCTATATCGGAACGAAAGTAACGTGTTGTATTATTTGATAGTATTATTTTTATTCTGTTATATTCACACAAAGTAAAACTTATATAACGCTTTCGATTCAGAGAGAGTGGAGTCCAAAATCAGCTCTTTCGAAGAATGAGATAATTAATTAGTTGACTTAATTAATTAATCCTATCATTAAAGATACTTATTCCAAACAATTAAGCAGGTTTTTCATATAGTCATAGTTAAATGATTTGAACCAGTCCGCGGTTGCACTTTATACTGAAATGAATTAGGGTTCCAATATTCGTTAAAGTTAAACTAAATAATGAACACAATCCACTGTTTCCCTAATATAATATAATCCATCTGTTTTTTCGTACATAAATAGTCGCAAAACGAATCTTTTTTATAAAACAACTAAATACGGATGAAAGAGTGCCTAGTTAGTGTAAAAAAAGATAATTTAAATATTAATAGAACAGTATTCACAAAGTAAAAGTGCTGCAAAATCATTATTAAGAAATCTACGTCGGATTTCGGAGATATGTAACGCATTTACGTAAGAACAATATTTATGATGAAATTAAATTTTTTGTTACGTTTCAAACATTCGTAGTATGATAAGGTGTAAGATAGTTACGAGAAAACATTTGATAAATAGTTATTAGCTTTCGCTCGCAGCGTATCTAGGTAACCAAAATCGTTGTTTAAATAACCTAGCCAAAATCTAATGTCGCGCTGGAGCATTTTTAAAAAGATATATTTTAAAATTAATCATCTATTGTCCCGTTACAATAGTGATAATCTTAAAACTCACTTATTATTTCTGTTATTGAGACTTGGAACTAGATAGTCGGTCAGCATATTCGTGAAAATACGCGTGGCTGTTACTGATTAGAAATGATTAAATATGTCTTGTGACTTTGTAACTCTTCGTAGAATTGTTATTTTTCTTAAATGCATCATCCATTTCTCTTTCTTCCATTTGGATCTACTTCTTGGTGCTTCCGTTTTAATACTTGGTTAAATTTTACAAGTTTTTCAATATTCATCGGATATAATTTGAACGTAGATTGTATTTCTTTAATTAATAATAATTAATCATGAATAATGGACCGAGGAAGTACTTCTTACGAAAGCGGTTTGAAAGTTATTAGTTTAACCTGAGATAAATGTCTTTAATTTGATAAAATTATTTCGTGTTAAGTTAACGATATTTCTAATAGTATTAATCGTTTAGCAACTACGGTTATTTTATCGATAAAACGTATATCAAAATAATTGGACTTGACCTTTAAGTGTTAAGAAGTTTTATATATTTGATTCTAATTCATCGTTATCCTACAGTTAGGATTAAATTCAGAGACTCAATTCAGTACGTCAAAACTCAAAAATGTATTGGAATTTGAAATACGGAAGTAAAAGTTTGTACGCCTATCTAATTTATGTATCTTAACTTCAGAAACGGAGGCGGAAAGTATATAAAAAATAAATCTCGTGTACAGTGACTTGTTTTAATAGGTGGCTACTAGGTAGACATGTTAATGAACATGTAATTATTTTTCGTACTAAATGAATTTGGACCGTGTTGCTGGGTGTCATGGGCATTTTATTTAAATTCGTTAATTTATTTAAGTTGCAGGAAATGTTCAGTAATAGAGAGCAAGTGTATTGGAGTATGATAACGAATGCAGATGTGAGATGCTCTCTTGACACAATTTCAATGAGTCTCTTTGAACTTGAGAGATATCGTGTCGTGAGATAAGGATTCCTAAACTGCAAAGGTACATTTTAAATAACATACAATTTTACGCATTGTAATTGGTAGATTGTTTTATTGATTTTAAAAGTAAAGTCATAATTTTGTGTCTGTGTTTTTGTATGAAATACGAACCCAAGATCAAAGTAGTAATAAGACTGTATTTATTGCGATCCTTAAATTATAATTAGGCATTTTTGGGGTAAAATGGAGGGTCAGAGTGCCCTAAGTATGGGTGTCGTACGTCATAAACATTTTGGATTTTGTTTGTATTTTTCGCACTATTCATTCAATGCGATAGTTTTATAAAAACTCTCGGATTTCGACTAATTCAATCACTCGTTCAAACAGGACCACATAATCAGACTAATCAGATAAATGTTTATGGGCTATACTTACCATAACCGACGTTGCACAATTGGCCAGGGGCGCATAAACAACGTAAGTGTGTCCTGTGATCCAGCCCACATCAGCTGTACACCAGTAGATGTCATTCTCCTGGTAATCGAAGACGTATCTGAATGTTGTAGCCGCGTACAGCAAGTAGCCTGCTGTTGTGTGCAGTACTCCTTTTGGCTTGCCCGTTGAGCCACTGGAAGCGGTAATAATGGGTATATATATATTCTTCATCATATTACTATAATGCAGCGTAAAAAAATCTATTTGTCAAGGTTATATCGTGTTTTTAGAGTATTAAGGCTGTATTGTCAAGGTTACGAAATTCTGCTGGGTACAAACTGCAAAGGTTGGTTGATTATGATGTCTTAACTTATTTTGGGTAGTAGCAAACTTATCTACTGCTTATTGACATAAAATTTTGATAAAAATGAATATATCGTAGAAAATAATTTATTTTTAATTTACATTTTCTTTGTAATTAGATATTACATTAACTACTTATCAATAGTAATTGCACATTGTAATTAATCTATTTTATAATCAAAGTAAAACCAATTACTTGGCGATTAAAGAGAGCTAGAGAGTTTATTGCCAGTTGTTGTCGTGCATCATATGTCCTCGATTTGAGAACTGGCACTTAATCTTAATGAATAATCATTTGATTTAACGTTCATACACTGAAAAAATATTTTTTTAATATTATCTAGTTGTCATAACAAGTTTTTGGGATGTTTACACTATCCACCTGGCATCCATATTGGGATGGGCTGCAACCTCCCCCCTTAAAAATAATTCTATTTACGCACAAATTTAGCTAAATACATTGGCTCGTAATTTACAAATCGTATGTGTTTAGTTTCGTAAAGCCTCGATAAGCATGAGGAAAACACATCATTTGTCTTTATAGCAATTTGATCAGCCTCGCGTGCCTACGTCAATGATTGGGACGTCAAGGTTTTCTTTCACTGTCAAGACTCAAACTCAAGACCTTTAGCGCTAAGACTCAAAACTGATAGTAAGACGAGCCAGTTTCCCCGCGATTTTTGCCTTCGTACGAGCAAGTATGAATTGCGCACATAGAAAGTTGAATGAATTGCATGTAGTTGATAATTAAGCTTATATGAACATTAAAAGTGTTACCTAGTATATAACATGAAAAGGGGATCTTCTGCGTCCATCCACTCGGGCTTACAATCAATAGATTGATCCTCAATAAGTTCATGCCACCACACGTCGATATCAGCGTTCCAGTCGTACTGAAATGTGTAAAAATCTGAAATCCTACTGAAACACGAACCTAAACATAGTAACGGTAGGTTTAAACTACGTTCTAGAAGCACACTGGAGTTTCACTCTTTATCATTTCGTTGTTGACATCCCCAAGTATGTGGCATTACACGATATGCATCGTCGATTTTGGTTAAAAGAGCGGACCCCTTCAGTTTTTCCTAGAGCGCATAACATGGATTCATTTAAACGGTGGCTAAATTGGCACCTACCGAATTATAGGCAGCATCTTAATTCTTATAGGTACTCTATAACTTCCAATAGCGATAACTATTGCGATCCCGATTTCAATGTTGTATTTATGTAATACACAATCCCAAGATTGTGACAGGGCTACGATACTGAGGGAACTAAATCGAAATACAAACACGCGATCTGTATAACTATTGGAAGTTACAGAGAATCCCAGGTGGGATTGCCACCAGTGACGCCAACTCCTACGGAGAAAATCCTCCTCAAACCAACTTCAAATACCTTTAATTATTATATAATTAAAACCCCTAAAGTTTTTATTGAACACTCGATTTGAGATAAGCTAAGAAGAAGATAAGATTAATTTCAAATAAGCTTCAAAAATACATCCAAGTAGTATAAAATTTTCAATTTATAGCTTTTTGATATTTCAGTTGTAGCCCCGCTTGGAGTTTTTATTTGGTTTAGTTTCTTGGTTGGGTTCTAGACATTATATATCATATATTCTATGATATTATATACATAGATTCGTGCGTATTTTAAGAAAAATTAATAATCTTGTATTAAGTATCCCCTAAAACCCTTCCATGACATCCTGGTTCCCCCTTTAATTGAAGGGAATACCCCCAAGTTAGCTTCACTGATTGCGGCCAGGTGACTGTTCAGTTCTGCATTAATAATGTTTCAATATTCTATTGATTTATTATTTTAATAAAGAAACTGCCTTATACAACCGTTATTGATTAATGATTTCCAATACTTGTATGCAATTGTAACGACACTAATTTAGGTTCCACAACCTACAAGATAAAAATATAAGAAAGGACAACGCTTCACAATAAATACAAAGAAGTAATGTCGTACTACAGATCATTATCTTATACACAACTCAATAGTAAGGATTGAATGTTATCGTAGTGGCTACGCAGTAATATAATTCCTTCGTGATAAAACTTAATTATATTAATTAAAATGCAAATATAAATCAAATGTAAATTGAAGAAAATCTGAATAAATAAACACGAAAAAACTGTTTTTAATCAAGAAGAGATTCAAGTCTATCTAGATTAAGAAAGATTTAAGATTATTTTAATAATTAGATTTTTTAGATATTTAAGCCCAGTGACATGAGAAAACTACATACTTTTACTGTTTAGCCGGACCTTGGATTTATCTTAGAGAGACGCTTGGAACACAGCTTACCAAAGTAATAATTTAATGCCCAATTAACTAATGACTTAACGAAGCATAAGGTAGGAAAACATGTTAAATATTAACTAAATAGTTTAACTTAAACACTTCGCAAATGCTTCAGAACATCCGTAATCTTTGATGTCTTACCAAAGATTTGATATCTCCTAACTTGCCGCATGGGGACGCTTTCGCGAGGTGCGACACAACGATACACGATTCCACTGTATGGTCGTGTTTTGTTTTTGCCTTTTCTAACGCCTCGTCACAGGTTTTCTTCAATATCAGCAGCTTTTCACCCCTCCATGCCCCGTCTGACGTCACCAGCACTTTAGCCTTGCAGTCCGACATCCGTTCAGCTAAAGAATCCGATGAAAAACCTGCAAACTACAAAATAAAATTATTAAGCCCCGATTAATATCGACATTAAATACAATTAATTGTTTGACACAGCTTTTGCTGCAGCTGTGTGTAAAAGTAGCTTTAATATGGTTTTCAGTCAAATATAAAAATAAATGTTAAGGGGTATATCTTTACAGCTAGGTCAGAATTTCCAATAGGTATACGTACTACAACGGAGTGGATGGCTCCAATCCTAGCACAGGCCAGCATACAAACAACCGTCTCCAATATCATCGGCATATAGATGGAAACTCGGTCTCCCTTCCCCACGCCACGAGATCGCAAGCCATTTGCGAACTGACATACGAGATCCTTCAGCTTCCTATATGTTATGCGACTGTAGTCATCCGGGTGATTTCCTTCCCTATAATGAAAAACTGAAATAAGTCTTACAAAGACCCATAACTATTATATCAATGTTATGACATAAGCGCGAAAATGGTGGAGATTTTTTGTAACTCGTCCACGCAAAATCGTGTGGCTTTTTAAATTCAGAAAATCAATATATATTCATACAAAGATAATAATCGCGTAAAGGTCATGGATCGACACCTCCTTAGCCTGGGCATGAGGTTCCTACAGCCTACGAGTCATACCGCCAGCGTTGAAAATCCGTAATACGCTACAAATAAGCAATACATTAAAAGAAAGGAAAGTGTGACCCTATATCTAGGATGTATGGAAATGGCTTAATGTCTAATACGTCTGACGCGATTATTGTTGTTGCGACGTAGTTGAATATAAGTAGTTAGTTACCTAAAAAAATCAATAAACCGGACGCGGCATATGTAGGCTACGACACATTAACGATTCTCATTATTTATTAGTACCAACGTGAAGCTAATCTCTAAACCTATATTGAATCTGTTTATTTTTTATAACAGAACGCAACTACCTATCAAAGGAAATTTAACTATTAATTCATGACTGTTATAAGTACAATATAGAAAAGCGTGCTATCTCGTAAACCAATTTTGATGAAATTTGGTCTATTCCCTAAGACATTCCAACTAAACTAAATTAAGGGTGAAATTTTGTGTTTAGCATTCTTTTGTGAAGAGAACGCGTTGTGGTTAATAGCTTGTAAAGTAAACAATTAATTAAACGTTTTTCATACTTGTCGAACAACGTTTTAACACGCGATATCGCACTTATGTGTATTGATATACAAATATTTTTCTATGCATAAGCGTAATTTACGTATGAATTGTCAATATGGTTAATATAGTCGACCTTTAAGCCATGATGGCCATAAGTCAACCAACACTACGCCTTAAACTAGGTATGTTCTGTTGGTCACAAAGATTTTGTCACGTTATTTACCGAATTAACCAAGATTTTATGGAAGTTATCCGTATCTTTTTATGATATATTATTAAAACAATTTTATCACTAAAGTGTGTAGTTTACGGAAAAACTGTGTTTGACATATGGAAGTCATTGATCCCGTTAAAGTCTCCACATAGAATCAAGCTCTTTATCTTCCTGCTCATAAAGTAATTAGTCGTGTAAAATTGTGTAAACGTATCAAAAAACCAACTCTAAAAATATAATTATCAAAGATACATTTTAAATGTAGCTTTTTGTATTTGTAATGAATTCTAGTTTGCAATTGTCAGCAGTACATTGAAATATCTTCGGTAAAGTTATTTCTAGTGATGCATTGAAGTCTATGCATCTAGTGACACTATTATTTTTAATTAATATTAATTAATTGAATTGACAACTTTATGTTCAAAAAGCACTTCATTTGTCATTTCCGGCATTGGGCGATTTGTCTTTTCTGTTTGTACATTCCCAGTAGGTAGTCCAAAATAATCTTTTTGAGACAACAGTAGAAGGCTTGAATAAAAATACTTTTGGAGCAGTTTTTTCAGCTTCGGGGAATATATATTCGGCAAATACGATTCCTATTCGTTGCATCACTAGTTATTTCATCGTTAGGTATAGTGATGTTTATAGTTAATTTTCAGTTGGTAGGAATTTTAATTACGTTAAAGTATTTATAATTACATATATAGAGGTAAAAAAATTATTGTGTATTATAGACACATTCAATATAGTTTTGGATTTAGCATTAATTTGGTACTAACAAATAATGAGAATCGTTAATGTGACTTGGCCTACATATTTCCGCTTCCGGTTTATAGATTTTTTTAGGTAACTACTTATTTTCAATTACAGATACCGGCAAACATCTTGAACAAATATCCTTGCAAATCTTAACAGCAATGTTTGCGTCAGGTTTCAGATTTGAATTATTGTACGTCGCGTTGATTACCTCAAATTTCTACATACATGTTAAAAATCTCTAGCGTTAGATTGTTCAATCACACGGAATGTAGGTACACTCCGTGTTATATTACTATATACATATGACATTTAAGTACCCATATTTTAATGTTTGAATAACCTTAATTAAACAGTTTCCTTCTATTCATTGTTATTATCTCACGTTATTATGTTGTACTTTCCAAGGTAACATTGAAAGAGGTTGGCAATGACCAGCCGATTTAGCTTGTCTATAAATTTTACGAGCATGTCCGATTCAGATGAAATAAGGCTTAAAATTTCCTGTTCTTATATATAACAGTCTATAAATTTATTTTTAGTAGTCGCAAATACCTAATTCTATAGTGCGTACAGTAATTGTTGGCGGCCGAACAATTAAACTGTTGATTAACCTCTAATGATAATAATTTAATAATAATATTTCTTATGAAAATACGAGTATAACGTTAGGAACGTAAAAGAAATCCTTCAGACTTAAGAATTTTATTACGGCTTCTAATATATTTTGAAATATTCTATTAAATATAATTCGACGACCCCTTTAGATGTTTTGTAGGTTTAATAGAGGTTTTTTTTAAATGTAAGGCGGTTATGTAAGAAAAGTAATTTAAATAGGTGGAGCTGCCGCAGAGCAGGCGGAAAATAAATATAAGAGTCTTTCTCACATGCGATAATTAAAGATTTAAGTTGGCGCCTGGTAGATAGTACCGGTGACCCTAGAGCTGGTGATTTCCTCGCTCAATAAATAAGAATTGCTGCCGCAATACAGCTATGATATGCTGCCAGCGTTAAAGGTACACTGCCACAGGGACAATTAGATTTGTTTTAATTTTTAATTTTCCATTTATTATTTTTTTAATTATTACTATGTAGCTTAAGAAAATTGTATATGTGTTTTATTAAAATAAAAATTATATTTTTATTTACATTTAAAATTATACTATATATCTTTAACTCACGTCATCAACAAGAAAGTCATCAGAGGGATGAGTTTAGTTAAAATTGATTTGGGATTTCGGAATTGTCAGGAAAGTGTTTTATTTTAGTACTACGCTATTATTAAAACATATGTACAATACATTTCGAGCTAGATTCTATAAAGATAGGTCAATAGTATATCTAGATCCACACATTGACCTATCACAAGCAAGCGATACGCTTCATTGTTTTCGTAAGGGATTAATTCGTAACTGACTTAAGAGATAAGATTTGCTCTTCATAGCATTTGTAGCGGCAGTTGGAGGTGGTATTTCGAAAAGAGACAAATACAGGACATAAATAAGTAATAACCTTATACAAAGTTGTAAGTTATTGTGTATTAAGATAATCTTATTCACAAAGTCTAACAACTATTGAATAGTGTCCTTGTCACTCTCTTGACACTGAAACTGAACGAAATAAAACATTCTATTACTGCCTTAACGTGATCTGATAATAGTGCTTTATTTTTTTCGTAAAATTATCGTAACTATGGGAACAAACATGTATCTTTAGTTTTATATAAGTTCGTTTGACAATTTCACAGGGCAAGTTTCAGTAGTAATGTGTTTACTGAGTATGACAGAATGTTTACTAGTTGTAATTAAACTCCTGCTAAACTAAAATTTTCGAGTGTATGTTCGAGATGTAATCTTATTCTTAATTAAATTTTTTATTAATAAATTTTCTATTTAGTATTAAGTTACTGTAATGGCAGAAAATAAGGGAATAAAGAAGACTAGCTGAGACTAAGTACGACATCCGTATGAAGGTCAGATTTGTCGTACACCATTTATATCGCTTAGTCTTGACTCTGTCAACCTGAATTTTCTTTTAGGATAAATAGCCCAAACGTCATATCAGTCTCGTTTATTACGTTATTGTTGTAATAGATACATTGTTAATATTTTTATTGTTAAATGTTCCAATTAAACATTGAAAGGTAGTTGCTAAGATAGAAATATCTTGAAGATTCTTAAGTTGAAGATAATCATGAATCTGGCATCGTTCCAGCGCTGCACCCTTATATAAGTCGAGGTTTCGCGTTCCTTCAAATTTTGACTGATATATAGATAGGATACCTTTTATACTTATAATTACGTAACTTAAATACCTATGTATTTTTTAACAAAGCTATTAAAATAGAAATTCAGTGCAGTGAAAGTATGAAACTTTCACAATTATTAACTTAAGACGCACAAAATGATACGACTGTATTCATATAGTGGGCACACGTTTTACACGTCGCGCTTTGAAATGTTTAGCTCTACATAGATCAGAGGTCAAATGAACTGAATAAATATTAATTGTTTTATATTAAAATCAGTGGTAACACAAAATGCTATTTCAAAGTGAGATCTAAGATACCTTGTGTCATTCTATGATAAAAATATGTATTAATCTCTAATATCTTCTTTTATCATCTTACCAAATACATACATTTTTGGATAGAGGTAGGATTGTAGGATTACAAGATGAAAATCAATGCCGCGGCGGCGCATTGCAGTTTTCACTATTTTTTTATACTTTTAACCTATTTTATCTCCTAACTTAAATTGAGTAAATATATACTATCTATTTGACTTTTAGAAAGTTGCGAACAATGGAAAGATTTCATAAAATAAGCTATGATATTATTAATTTACATACTACGTCGGCCACGGCTTAATATAGTTTAGTTATTAATAAATAGTTTTAAGATGAAAAGACGGAATGATAAAACTGAAAAATAATAACAATGCGCAAAGAAAATTAAATAATTCGCAATGAAATATTTTTTATAGACCATATGATTAAATCATAATTTAGATTTGTTATGAAGAGGAAATAAATTGCTATAACACAGGGAAAATCAATAATTCGCGCGCCGTCTCAGTGCCTCATTCGCACAGCTGTCTATTGATTCCTTGACGATTCCTAATTGAAAATAACTAGTAAAATTGACTCACCAATAATATGCGATCTTGTCTCCGTGCCCCTTTTCTATATTCCTGTCTAGGAGGTTCACGCAAATATTTGTGACGGCCCCTTCCATCCATTTCACAAATATGTCACCCTTCGTTACATCAAAATTATAGGAGACGAATTTTCCTGGCTGATGCGGCGTCTGCCAATAGAATTCCTTGGCTATTTCCGACCAAAACTCCTCCGGGTTGTCGAGAGACTTTTTGTACATCTCATTGTATTTATCGAACGATGGCAATCTCGACTTCCCGACTACGTGAGCCGAAGGTTGAAAAACGCGCGACATAGCGACAGGAGCCTGATAATCGCGTCTCAGTAAATGCGTCTGGTTATGATGGCGTTCAATCGGTTACTGTCTACTGATACTGAATGCACGGCAAAGTCAGGCTACAGAGACTCCAAACGAAACCGATTACGTATAGAATGACGCATGCATGAGACGCGCGTGCGCGTTCTGTACCCACAGCGAATACTGCTGTGAATTGATCATGGCAGGCATTGAGCAAGTATCGCCAAAATAAAGAGGGGTTTCTTAATTGTTGGCTTGGGTTAATTTATAGCTAATTACGTAGCAAGTACAATTTAATTAATGCATCTGGTACAATTATTAGATAGGTTATTAAGGTATTACGAGTTCTATTTCCGAGAAAACTAAAATTTTCAAGTTTGGCATTTAGAAAATATTCTAAAATTAGGCACATATTTACTAAGATAGTATTATATACTCTCAATTTCACTGGATATAATATTCCGATGCAATTAGAAAACTCGGAATCTTTTATTAGAATACTGGCTACTTAAGCGATTTTAATAAATAATTTTAAATGTAATTAGTAATTTTCTGTGTGTGAAGCAGATGTTTTTTTGGGTTTTAGCAGCAGGGAGTCATACGTAGCGCTAGTCTCGACTCTAAATCCTACGACAAAAAAAGAACAATGTATACTTTATTTCTTATATACTTTATTTTCAAAATAATGCTCACGTGGTAGAGTCTTTTATACACAAATGCTTTTTTAACCTATTTACACTTCACAAGAAACGTTGACATTAAATGACAATCTTTGTGCTAATTAACATCACAAAGGAAATAAAATCTTAAAATGATCGTACGATTATGTATATTCTGGAAATTCTCCATGACACCGGACCTTAGAAAATAATCAATATTTTTATCTCATTTATAATGGTAATTGTAAAATTAAAAGTACAAATCCATTATTATATGAAAAATGTGTCGAGATACTAAGCTCGCTGTTCTCACTTCAAATCATTATTGGTAGCCGCCTAAACAAGTTGCAGTGCATTTTCTCTCCTGTCAAAAAGTCTAGTCTTAGGAAGAATTTTTTACAAAGCTCTTGTCAGTAAACTGCTCAGTAAATTCTAAGGTTCATAGATAAGAAATTCCAACATAAGCCTATTTTAGTTACGATAAAATCCTAATTCTCCTCTGTTACGTGATAGTAGAGTATTCCTTCTTAAACATACTTCAGAATTTTACATTTTAACTCCCAACTATGGGTAAGTTTCAAAATCGAGACTTAGCACACTTAAATGTACCATAAACTCCTGCGAATAGAGGTATTATCAAGTATTTTGACACATGGAATATTTTGCTAAACTAATTCGTGATAGGCTTGAGAACTGAAATAAAAATATTATTTATTAGCAATGAACTACTTATGAAAATTTAAATTGCATTAAACATCTTACACTTTAATAATTATAAATTACGCATTACATGATGGCGTGGCCTCTAGATAGTGTGTTTTACAACCTTGGTCGGTCGACAGATGAAAAATGCATTAACATTATTTGTGGAGAAATAAACTTTTATAGTTTCATAAGATTAACAATAATTATCTAAACCTAATTAAGCTAGGTAATTAGTTTAAATGTACGTCCAATAACAAGAAATAATTGTATGGTAACTAATACTTAAGGTTTTTATACAAATGGGGGCAAACGGGCACGAGCCTCACTTCATGTTGAGCATACTATGGCATTCAACTTTTGGAACGTTCTCTTCTTGAAAGACCCTAAGTCGAATAGTTCGGAAATACTTTCAGCAGCTGGATCCACATAGAGATGGTAATTCCACCCGGTCCTAATATGAAACTCAGCTGCTGAACAATTCCTCTGAACGGACACATTTCATCACAAAAAATTGCAATAGTAGTGATTCGCTAAAAGCGTGGCTACTATCACCTTAGCTACTACATACATTTGACTAAGTCCTATGTATAACAAATATTACTTAATACATAGTATAGAGCCTGATCTTCTATTTACCAACTTATGTGCCCTAGAAACCTTGATATCTAATATACGGGATACATTGCATAAAAAGTGTATAATTTAGATGTTATTTATATAAAATTGTATTCACTGGTACGCAGTAGATTAACGTATAAAAACATGTTTTAAATAATGTATAAATCAACTTTAAAAAGTTGATAAATTTATTCATACAGGAACAACTATGTATAAGAAATCTCATTATAATACTCTGTCGAATAAGTTATTCTAGCATCATTTGATTGTAGTAATTTAAAATAAATAAAGAAATTACAGTCGACTCTCGATAATTTGAGACTTAAGCGACCAGAGATAAATTTCACTTTACCAAGAGCTGAAAATAATAAGCGGATAAAGATTCGATTTATTATTTCTAATTATTAATAATAAAATACAATAATACTAAAATTATTAACAAATTTTAATTTCGAAAAAAAATCCGTTAGCTTTTTTGAGAGAGCGACTTCAGTCTATCAATGTTCAAAGAATTTTAAAAACAAATGACAGCGACGTTTGTCCATGCTAAATACTTCAAATTATAGAGAGTAGGGAATCCCTGACTTCAAATTATCACATATAGGCCAGTTAGAATAACATTGATTTTATTCAATTTATCAACTATTTTCAAGGGAAGTTCAAATTAACGAGAGTACTGTATTGCGATAAATAACAAAAAATCTGTTTAAAAAACATTCCGGTGTAACATTAAAAAAAAAGTAGTATACATTTACTTAGTAGTATGCAATTACATGCATTCTTCAATAAAACTCTTAGGCTTAGATTTTTTCTGCGGAAATAAAATTGACTGGTTTTTGATTCGAATTCAAATATTAAAATAATTTACCTAAGTAGCCAAAGAAATTAATTTCCGTCGTTTCATTTTACGTCCGTATCTCTTCCAAAAGATAACTGTGCAATAGATTATGCCTCCTATTGCGATGACAGTAAGGGCTCGATTGCTATAGCTCGATTGTTGCTCGATATCAGATAGGACTTTCGTCGGAGCTACGCCAGCCCCACGCCAGGCCCTAGGCGCTGGCTCTGTGCCTTCTGTTTCTGGCGCACCTGAATACAATATAGGCAATAAAATAACAAATGAAAACTCTGCGTCAAGATAATTTGGTTTTCATAATGGAAAAACAGGATTTTTATTCACGCCAGTTCGCAGTACTTCACACTAATGATAATACTCAATGTTATAGAACGATATACAATTCTGAGTAAGCGCTAAATATCACTGAGGTAAAGATTTGTTTTCGTATTGAGTTATTATAATTCAGTATTGGCATTTGACTTTGTAGGCGACAATGGTTTTTGAAATCAATGTCTACTCACTAGTGTATTACCATTACGATAGATTAATGTTAATTTATTTACAAAAACTTTTTTAAAAGGTTCGTAGTTTTTTCGGAAAGTAATTTGTATCGAGGATTGAAACTTATAAAAGTCAGTAGAATTTTAGTGAAAAACATAAAATGGGTTTCATTCCGTTAATCATATTATCAGTGTAAGGAGCAGATGGCCGATAGAATAATAAGAACTTACATAAAATTATATTTTTGTGTAAAACGTTTACATGGCGCCAAAATATTTCGTGAAAGTTTTTTTTATTCTTAGTTATCTATAAGTTAAGATAGGATTTATTTAAATAATAAAAATGTTACAATAATATATAAAAACACATACCAATGCTGCGTGGATCAGTAGGATGATGTCGTGGGGCCAAAGTGCGTGCGGCAGGCGGGGCTTGTACGGGCGCGGGTGACAGCGGAACGTCACGCACGCATTCGGGTAACGTACGCGTACCGCTACCGTCAGGTAACAATACGCGCGAGTACGCGTGCAAGCGACCGCCTTCTGATCGCTGTGGTAACTCTATAAATAACAAATATATAAATCTAGTTACACATTAATATAAAACTTCTTAAACAGATATAACCGCCAATTTATTGCATTATTTACATAACTCGCAGTTTCAAGTGCTTTTCAGAGTTTCACTCGTGGTCAGCAGGAAACTGCTACATTGATTGGCAAACATTTAATATTATGACTAGAGTAACTATAGTCCTTTACGCAAGACCATGCGAGCCAGCTCGTCGAGCTGGTCGTTCCATCATACTCTGGCAGTACATTGATTTTTCTAATTACCTAATTACCACTTGTTCCTAGGGTGAAGGTACACATCTTGAGCCGTTTTAGTCACAATAAAAACAGTCTAAGAAAAATAAAGCAAATAACAGATATTTACAGAAAGCTGTGTTATTTAAGCTATTTACTAATTATAACTACTTATTTATAAGTTCATAGATTCAATCACTAATGTTTTAACAGTGTTTTTAAATCATCCGTCATCAGACATTTAATTTCGTAGCTGCGTTCCAACATCCTTCAGAGACAATTTTATTTACATCTCTGACTAGAGCTAACAACGGTCAACTTTGACGGGAGATGTAAGTAACAATATGGGTCACGAGTTATAAAGTAAAAATGGTTTAAAAGTTCTTTGGTATTTTTTTACTGATTATTTCGCGCGCTTTATTCAGTGTATGGGACTGTATTAATTGTGGTTATTTAAATACATATGAAAAATATCCTATGAACGATTGGAAATCGGTATTACCATCTAGAAATATTAGTCCCATAACCTAGAACTGCAATTTAACTTTAATATTGATACAAGGACTCTGTGTGTATCATAAACACGAATAATGTAAGAGTAATAGAATTTTCAATAAAAATTTAGATGCAGAACATTCTTTGTTCGAATAGGTTTCTGAAATATATAAAAAAAAAGTTCGTGCGTACAAAGTACACATGTCAGAAATGAAACTTCTTTGGCAAACTAATTTTTAAGTCTTGTTCATATTTATACTAAAACATTATATTTCCGAGACTTAGAGAGAGGGAAAAAGGAGAATTTAATTGTCATTAAAATATTAAAAGTTTCGAAAATTAATGCAAATTATAAATTTTATTTCTTCGATTATACTTTACAGGTACTATTTAAGATCTAAATTAAAGATGGTTCTTTAGTTAAAGAAATAACTACGACCTTCTTAATTGTAAAATAATTAATGTATAGACACGAACGTTTTCGTCATAAAATTTAATGTAACAATACCATTTTATGACAATAAGATATTTTAGCTAACACAAAGTAATGAATTATATTTTAAGATCGAACAAAGTAAATCACAATTAATAAACACAAATGCATTGTAATGTGTCAATTGTATTATCTAAGAACTGAGCACAGATATAACATTGCACATTTAAGGAATAGACAACAGTGAAAAACTATTTTATTTATGGTAATATTTGTGATCGACACTCATCGGCCAAGGAAGTAGATCCAAATCTAATGCCGTTTTCCTTCACGAGTGAGCGTTATACGAAAAGACCATTGGTGTCACCAACCTCAGGGTTGAGGCAGATACAAAACAGAATTAACTAAATTTACCAGAAGGTATAATATGCACGTCTCGATGCTTCGAAGCAGCTTCCTTAAGCGCTGAAGGAACGTGACCTCCAAGCGCGTATTGCAACGCAGCTAACAGCAACCAATGGCAGGGTCGCCCAGCCCCACTTTCAAGGCAAGACGAGTCACCGTATACGACTAGTCTACCCGCCTACAAAGTATACAAATTAGACATTTTTATTCACTTATAAATGCAACTTAGGAGAAGAAATTTTTGTAAATATTTTATAGAAAAATTTAAATTTGTAATTTATAAAAAAAAATACAGTTTTTATGGAATTCAGTATTATGTTTGTTATGGAACAGCTGAGAACCCTGACACGGGAATATTTAATAAAAAGGGTTCCCAAATCTTAAATTTTCGTGTTTTAAAATTAAATTACTTTGATTTTTAAATCGTTAAAATTGATAATAAAAGTAAAATACCTCAGGGTAATACACTGTGCTTAAAAAACGTAATTAGAAAAAGTATGTATAGAAAAACGCTTTTCTGGTATTTAAATTAAAATCAATTTTTGTTAAATAATGCGTTTAACAAAAATTGGTTTGTTAAACGCATTATTATTTTAGTTTTAGAATAATTTTAGTTTGGCCTGTGTAAATACATAAATATATAGAGAACGTAAAAAATTAAATTGAGGCTAGGACTGTAATTGGTTAGATAATTAATAGATAGATAATTAAACTTTGTTTATAAGTTCAGAGCTATTTAGTTAAGAGGTGTTTAAATGCATCGGTACTTTTAACAGATTTAAAAGGTAAGGTTATCAATTCGATGTATAATTTAAAAAATATATATTACCTTGGGCACTTTATTAATAGTGTTATTGGTATAATCTTTGGCTTCTCCGTCTGTCTGTAGTAGACCCAAAATTGGTACATCCACTGTTGGGGCTTTATTTGAACCACTCCCACCACTAGCTTTGCCCCCAGACATTATCTGGAACACGATCACGTATGTTTATCTATAATTTTTTATTATTATTACAAGTCTTATATAATTTAGAAAAATATTTTTTGTCTCGGTCTAGGTCACATGAATTTCATTTTTATCAGGCCTTACTGAGTTCTAAGTACCTAATTAAAATCAGTTCAGTAGCTTATTAAATATAGACATACATAATATGGTAAATTTCAGATAACAGGTATAATATGAAGTTAATATTTTTTTTTAAAGACAATTCACACCAATTGACCTAGTCCCATGCTAAGCTGGTGAAGCTTGTGTTATGGGTACTTGGCAACGGATATACATACTTTATATAGATAGATAGACATATAAAAACACCCAAGACCTAAGCACAACACCAAATGCTCATCACATCGATGTTCGTCTCAGCCGGGGATCGAACCCGGGACCCATGGACTCGCAGTCAGGGGTACTAACCACTAGAACAATGAGTCGCCAAATTATATATTTTACTTGTATTGATAGCGAGCATTTTGGTACACACCTGCTGTCCCTGATCGACCAAGTGAGCATTGACGAGCACGCCATGTTCGGGAAAGCTGTGTATGTGTGTACCACTTGCGTAGTACATTGCATGACCGCCCAGAGTAAAAGTACCTTCGAACACTCGATCACCCAACGCCACCTGTATTAACGATTCTTTAATGATGATTAATTGTATAGATTTTTAAACGACAGCAATCGTGACAGCCATAAAAGGCAGCTACCGCAGCGTATGGATAGATGTGAGTGGGTGCGTTGCCGGCCTATAATGTAATTTATTCTATTACACATTTACAAATTATACGCGAAATTATTACGCACTTTTCGAGTTTTCGTCAGAGACTGCAAGATAACAATTTGTTATGATTACAAGTCTATAAAAATTATTATATTTTAATTAATACATAGTTCTCGCGCCAATCGCTGGCGTTAATATGGCAACATTTCAACTATCTATACGCGAAAACTGAATTTAAAAATACATTTCGTTAGAGAAATTAATTTAAAATACATTATAAGAAATAGTACTGAAATTCCATTATCAATATTATTTTATAAATACTACTCATTTTCAATTACCTGGAACATGCTTAATAAGTCATTCAGCGCTGGTACATTGGCCCCACCCGTTTCTGGTATCCACCTGAGAGTAAAACATTGATTAAGTTACCCAAACCCAATTTAAGTGTTACGACAATCAGTTTTGGATATATGTAACCACAGAACGAAATAACGTGTAGGATATATTTGTATTAAAAACTTAAATCGTTTTTATATTAGTGGGCGTAAAGTGATTTCATGGTACTTAGGTAACACTGAAAATGTTTAGAAAATGAAAAACGGCTTAATGTAGAAAGTTGCCAATACTTTTATTGTTTTTCGAAGTATTCTCCGTTCCTCTCTACTCATCGTCGCATTCGATGGAACCACTGAGAAAAGCAGTGGGCCCATTCTTCCTTAGGGGAGACCTATGGCATTTTCGTATGCTTTTACCGCATCTTCAGGGCTCGTAAAGCAAATACCTCGAATTTTATCTTTAGTTCTTGGGAATAAATGAAAGTCGCAGGTCAGGACTGTATGGCGAATTACTCATTATCTCGACACCTGCCATAGTCAAATATTCAACAGTCCGTTTTACGGAGTGCGCTGAAGTATTGTCGTGGTGAAGGAGGATCCTGATTCGAGGGCGCTGCTATCGAATTTTTCCAAGACAACAGGCAAACAGCGATTGACATACCAATCTGCAGTAACTGTCCTTCCATCATCTAGCACAACTGTCGCGAAATAACCTTTCCGACCAAAGAATGAGGCAATCATCTTTTTTCTTGACTTCTTCCTTTCTTTACCTTAGTTGGCCGATCCTCGAAAGGAAACACCCACTGAGTTGATTGTCTTTTGGTTTCCGTTTCGTAGCAATATATCCAGCTTTCATCACCTGTGACGATGTCAAATACCTACAGCATTTGAGTCACCGCCGTTGAACTTATCTAACATTTGGCGACACCAGTCCATGCGAAGGTGTTTCTTGGTCGTCGGTTAAAGTATCGGGAATCCATCTGGTACAAAGAATAAAAGGTTCCTGACGAATAAATGTTCGTGTAATATTTTTTGAACTTGACTCATACCAATGCCTAGACTTGCCCGTATATCTTGCTCGCTGATTGGTCACTCTCTTATCTTCCTCTATCATGCATCGCACAGCACTGATGTTATATTCAGTAGTCCCTCACGCGGATCATCATTGAGATTGCTACGTCCACGCTTAAACTCGTTAAACCAATTGTAAATAGTGGCACGAGATGGGGCTTCATTAAGAAATGCTAATCGCAGCCACTACTTAAGCACAAACTTGGAACTCAACCAATTTAGTTCCACTTTTAGCCACGGGAGGTCCTTCCACTACTTTAGCACAAACTTGGAACTCAAACAATTTAGTTCCACTTTTTGCCACGAGAAGTCCCTCCACTACTTTAGCACAAACTTGGAACTCAACCAATTTAGTTCCACTTTTTGCCACGAGAAGTTCTTCCACTACTTTAGCATAAACTTGGAACTCAACCAATTTAGTTCCACTTTTTGCCACGAGAAGTTCTTCCACTACTTTAGCACAAACTTGGAACTCAACCAATTTAGTTCCACTTTTTGCCACGGGAGGTCCTTCCACTACTTTAACACAAACTTGGAACTCAACCAATTTAGTTCTATTTTTTGCCACAAGAAGTCCTTCCACTACTTTAGCACAAACTTGGAACTCAACCAATTTAGTTCCACTTTTTTCCACGAGAAGTTCTTCCACTACTTTAGCATAAACTTGGAACTCAACCAATTTAGTTCCACTTTTTCCACGAGAAGTCCTTCCACTACTTTAGCACAAACTTGGAACTCAACCAATTTAGTTCCACTTTTTGCCACGAGAAGTTCTTCCACTACTTTAGCACAAACTTGAAACGCAACCAATTTAGTTCGTCTTTTTGCCACGCGAGTTTCACTACTTTGGCACAAAACTTGCACGCAAACCATTTAGTTCCTCATTTTGCCATGAGAGGTCCTTTTACTACTTTACCACAAGATCGCAAACCATTTAGTTCCTCATTTCGCGACGAGTTTCACTACTTTAGCACAAACTTGAACGCAAACCATTTAGTTCCTCATTTTACCATGAGAGGTCCTTCTACTACTTTACCACAAACTTGGAGCACAACCAATTTAGTTTCTCATTTTGTCACGACAGGAATTTTTGTACTTGGTTGGTATCAATCAAATATCAAAAATAAATTGTATTCACTAAATATTCCTTATTACACGTACATTCTAACAATTTGGAATTAAATGAAATATAAATTATCTAACAGCAAACATACCATTGCCTCGTATTTTCATCGTAAAACTTGACGTGTCGTAGTAAAGACGCATTATACCAATCCGCAAATACAACGAGCGATAACCCTGAATCCACCGCCTTCTTCAGAGTCGCCATCTCCTCTGGGAAATATTCGTCTTCCGGGTCTACCAACATGAGGGCACCGTACATCGACGTATTAACACACGTGAGGGGAGAACCTAAAACATATAAACCTTGTGTTAAACTCAAAAATCTATATTTATTAAAACAATGATTGTTGGTACGCCCTGCCCTACCTGAGGTCTGATTATAATTTAAAAAAAAATGTGTTTGATATATGGTGGCTATAATATCATGCAACAACGAATTACGTGAGTTCGATTAAAAACCACGCCTAGTAGATCCATAAACTGGTAATAATTATCTACAACAAGCTGCCCCCGCAAACTTCGTTTCGCTTTAATATGATTTTTTACGAAGCCTAACTTTTTAGTCGCTACATACGAATATATGGAACTTTTTGCTGAACCATAGAGACTGTTCGCTTTTCCAGAATAAAAACCAAAGTATTAAATAAAACAATTTTTTTCTATTTTCTTTTATATTTTCCAATTTTCTCCATAAAAATCTCAGTGTTCAAGGAATAAAATACTCCAGTTGGAATTGAAAATATTTTTCATTAAATTTTTTTATTTATATATTTAGATAACCAGTGCCCATCTAGTTTACAGTTAAACACCTATAGGAAGTTATTTCGAGGAACAATAAAAAAAACTGAATCACTATTAAACCACGCAACGGGCAGTGTTACAAACGCTCCGTTGTACAACGTGTCCTTTATATTCGCACTACAATGGAAATCAAAAAGCTGTAAGACATATAACATTATTTGTGGATAAATACTTTTAACTCACCCATAACTTCAACATAATATCCATGCTCCCGGAGTCTTCGATACATATCTCTAAAGTTTGTGTGTATATGATCGGCGTGCCAATCGAGCGGGTCGTGTTTTGCCCGTAAATCATCTCTTGGGAAATAGCCGCCCGGATATCGGAGGCTATGGAATTGGTCCCAAAGGAGACGACGCGATCGAACCGGTACCGGGATAACACGCCCACTGAAAAATGGTTTTATAAGCTTTTGTAGGCGGGCTGGGGTCTAGGCTCAATGAGTAAGATTCAGAAAGGAGACTAAGACTCCAAAATTAAAATTGGGTAAAAGAGCCCAAAAAGGGCATTCATCGCCGCACATGGACACCTATTTTAGTGGGTACTTTTCCGGCCTTTGAGGGAGGAGAATACTCTTTATTAAAACAATTGAAGCTCGTTCCCAGGGACGACCCCCACCGGGAGTCGATTCCACAGTTCGCTAGTGGCCCGCACATGGGAGTTAGTGTTACTTAACACTAAACAATGGTAAAAAAATAAGACGCAAGAACAGACTCCTTAATAGAGACTGTAAGTAGTGTTATTGGACGCTTTCTCAAGTGAAATAGGTTAGACTGAAATTACATAGTATTAAGTTAGACTAGATCGTAATGTTCAATGTCTCAGTACAGAGACAATTTATATTAAAAACCGCTACGTAAGGCCCCTGTATGTCAAAAACCACTTAAATTTCGACATAGTAGACGAGCAATTGAAAAAGGTTTATTTTATTTACGGAATATTTGTTGCTTCATAAATTTTATAATAACTGTTACATGTTTTATTTACTGTATAATTAATTGAATATACTTACCGTACTGGTAGCATCAGAGTTGTATTCCTGGTCTTTTGCCGAAACGACTCGTCAAAACTTTCAATTGTAATGTTCACGTGTCCCTGAAATTTATTTACTCATTGCACAATTCGTAGAACAATAACGTTTTATTAAGCTATTATTATTTATAACATACAGGGTGTACCATAAACAATGTCAAGCCAAAGTCGAGTGATATAACAAGTAGTGGACAAAACTAATTAAATACAATGAATATTATGGCTAAATTAATATTTTAATATTAAAACTATTTTCGTGTTATATGTGTCGCTATTTTACTTATTTTATGAATAAGGTACAATTATAAAGCTGTCAGCTTGACATCGCTAATCTCAGGAACTACTGGGTGGAGCTAGTAAGAGCTTACTTCAACAATTCCATCAAAATCAGCCCCACTTTCCAAGACAGTGAACCTTAAGGCCAGCCAACCGGAGTAAGGCCAAATGATATCAATGTAATCCACCGCCACCGACAATATTAGACCGTTCGGCAAATGTGGGTGCCACTTTACACGTTTCTGAAAACAATAAATGTATTGATGGGTTTTAGCCACGTAGGTGATTCTTTTCATAGCAAGACAATTATTGTTTAGCCGGGATTAGAAGTTAGAATAGTGATATACATGTAAAGGGTTTAAACTACCCGGTTTATATTGGATTTATATTGGATAAGCGATTCAACGTTGAGGTAGTTCCAACTTCGAATCCCGACTTTGATCTCAACGACATATATTCGTATTTTCTTCAAAAGCAGTGTTGACGTAGTAGCGAGACTCTCATTCCTGAGGTCGTACGAACCCCGTCGTGCACCAACGGACTTGTCAACGTGCTTTTAACACTCACTCGGTACAACATCGTGAGGACTACTACAGGCACAGAAGTCTAACCACCTACTTGCCTATGAAAATACAAATGATCACGAAACAAATACTAATTATTTATTAATTTAGCCAAGTGTAATGCTTCCTAACATTTTGTAAAATTAAACTTGAATGCAAAAGAGTATCGGAGATTATTGCCTATGATATTATTGTTATACAATGATTTATTTACGTGCATAATATAAGTAATTACTTATTTACATCACAAGTGAAAAGTAGGTAAAAGGAATTGTTTAGTAAATCTAGATGTTTTTTTTGCTTTGATAAACTTTATTGACTTAGGGAGTGTTCAAGTATTACGTAACGAATTTGGGGGGGGGGGTCTTTTTGTAAAACGTTACGATGCGGGGCGGGGATTGAATTACGCGTTATTGTTAATATTATTTTCGACTTTCCAGTACTTTTACACCACATAATGGTAACTTTTAGGTATAAAGAATATAAAGTCACTAGGTGGTCACGAAACATTTTACTATACCTGCTTGGGTACAGAAAAATGTTACGGCGGTTACATGAGGGGGGGGGGGGGATGGGGTTGTCAATAATCTCCAAAAATTGCGTGACGTACCTAATACTTGAACGCTCCCTAGCCAATTCTTTAATTAAGAATAAATTTAACCTTACCACCTCTCCAGCTACTCCAAGGCCATTTATAATAGTGACATTGACAATCGTTGGCTGAGCACTGTAGTACAAGGGCTGGGTGCAATACGGCCACATGTATGTGCATTCCGTTAGATCAATGTATGGCGGACTGAGACTAGCTTGAGGCTCGTATTCACGTAGAAACTTAAATTTGAATTATTCATAATATAAATTAAAGTAATTAAAAACCTTACACTGACTTGTAAATATGATATATATAACTACTGGACCGATTTTGATTTAGCTTAGACTGTTTTAAACTGACTCCTTTTTTGTCAGTGCTCCTTTTTTTAAACTAGGGCAAACGGACATGATACTCCTGATTACCAGACGGCTAGCATGTGCGTCTTGAAGGACCCTAAGCCGAATTGATTCGGAAATACTTCAGTGGGCAGCTGGTAGTGATAGAAAAACTGTCTTAAAACGCTCAGTTGTGGAACGATGGACGTCGAGATGATACGGATGGTATTTCGCATTCGCTTCTATTATAATAATAATTTATTTATTGCAAGAATATGGTAAAAAAATGTTAAGGTAGTACAATCGTAAATCGTTCGCATATTCTGCCACACACAATGGCGCGCAAATTTGTCTTAAGGAATTTTACATTATTAGTCAATTCTTATATTATCTGTATCGTACATATCATATTTTATTAAATTTATATCAATTCAAGTGTCTCATGCAAATAATCATTTATTTAATAATACATTTTTTCCAAAAGTAATACACTAAGTCGCTTTTTAAAGACTCTAGTAGGAAGATCTTTTAATTCTATTGGTAATTTAATGTAAACTTTAATTGCCATACAAAATGTATTTTTCCGAAACAGTTCCAGATTGATTAATACCCATTATTATTAAAATTTCATTTAAACTTTTTGTCAGTGAAAGAGAGATTCGGCTGTCTTGTGCTTATCTAACTCTCATACAATAATTGAAAACAGGTGACGCCGAAATGTCAGAATATTAATAACTAGATGAACCGGAGATCTTCGTATCACCTACATATATTTATGTCAAAGCTAAATGTACATTTTTAAAACAGACCAAAGAGTTCGAACTACATACTTAAGATATGAAATACAAATTTCTGATATAAAATTGAATGACCTTATTTATTATATCTTATTTGTATTTTTCTTTACTATTTATATTTCCCGTTTAAGCCTTCTCTGAACTTTTACAAATATTTCAAGATAAGCAAAACCGGTCCAGCCATAATATATATGAAAGACAGATGAAATCTGTTTATTTTGTCATAAACATTTTAACCGCGTAAAATCCTATTATCTTTGTTTATTTCGGGCCGATTAAGACACGGACAATTTTCAGCTCCCACATTACCTGATAGGCGCTAATAAGGTCCAATTTCCCGTGTCCTTGCTCGAACATGTTAGGCCCTACCAGTCTCCGAGCGGTTATGCACAAGGCTTGTTTGACAGAAGCTGGCGTTAGGTTCTGTCTCGGCACACCACTAGCTAATAAGGCTATTGCACCGGCTACAACTGGCGATGCTACTGATGTACCTGTTATTTCCGTAAAAAAATCCTGTTTATTACAGTGTAAACTCTGTATAGCGTGGAGGCATTTTCTTACCACCAAAGGCGTGTATTTTTAGAAAGTTTGACGTTACATAGAATTTAAACTGTATATATAAAAGAAATGCTGGTGGAATTACAGTCATGTACCCTCTAGATACCCAAGGCATCCAGTCATCCTATATTTCCCTCTTTTCAGAAAAATGCGTTGTGTGCTCTGCTCTGTTGGGCCTCTGATTAAGGAGCTAAAATATTGCACCTCTCACACTTTGAATTACATTTTCCTTTAGTCTTTCATTTTTTAATAGCTGTTTTATACCTTCATGATTGTAGTTTATTTATTATTGCTTTAAATTAAAATTAGAATTTTTACACATATATTTATTTGGTATAGAAAATAAAATAAATAATTCCTATGTATAAGTTATTCGTTATTGTCTACACATAGCAACAATCAATATTTTGGCAATTTTATAAACTAAACACTGGTACCTAAATAAATTATGTATACATAAAATAATACGCTTTTATTAATTGTATAACTTCGCAAGACAGGAATTTACATTCGCATAAGCCAAATTAACTAATTATTCTAACACTTTCAACAGAGTATTAATTCCCTTCTAATAAAACAGATTACTTCTATTTTAATTAATTTTATTATATTATTTTATTTAATTAAAATATAGCATAATTTAAAATTCTTAATATGGTTCAAGAAAATACTAACAAAACAAAGTTATTTATATTTTTTTCTGTTTTTGTAAGGAATTAATACACATACGTACGTCATACAAGTTTTGCATTTTTAGTGTAATATTTTATCTGTATGTGTAGTGTTAATAAATAAAATAACAGATCATCGAGTTATTAATAAAACAATTCGCATTTTTGTAGTCTATAGTTTTTCTTGGACTTACCACTAAGAGACCGGCAGCCTCCATTCACGCTAGAGCCACGGACTCCACTCCCATACGTCACTATGTCGGGTTTAACGCGGCCATAACCCTGACAATACAACCATATTAAATAATTAATATCATGAGAATTAAAAATGCGAAACTGTTGCAACCGATATAAAAAAGTAGGTGTTGGTATTGGATATTTGGGTACAATCTATCATTGTCGGCCGTCAACGACGGGTCATGGACAATTCGGAAGAATGCCAAAATAGAAGAATTGGTGGCCAATATAGCCAAATACAAGACGCATGTACTACGTTGACTGGGCCACCTTGAACGCTTGAGCTAAGATCGGGCAGGGACGAAGGTACTGCTGGATCGACAGAGTAGAGGAGGACCTGCTACAACTGAAAGGAATTGTGAAGTCAACGGGAAGTGGAACAGGACAGGGATTGCTGGAAGTTTCTCATTTCGGTAGCTAATACATTTTCGGTCGCAGAGCAAAGTGAGTGAGTGAGTAAAAGTTAACAACTTATGGTTATAATAGCTGACCCGGCAAACGTCGTTTTGTCATGTATATTATTTCTAGGAAACATTTTTTTAGGTTCAATTAAAAAAATATATCTACTATAATAATAAAAGGTTGATCGTAGAGGGGTTACAATTAAGGGTTGTATGTATCATTAAAAAAATAAAAACAAAAAAATTATCTAAAAAATAAGAATAAAAATTTAGGGGTGGACCCACCCTTAACATTTAAGGATTTTAACGATAGATAGTAGCCGATTCTCAGACTTACTGAATATGCATAAAAAATTTCATAAGAAGGAGTATGGGAACGAACATTGTGACACGAGAATTTTATATATTAGATAGGTAAAGAAAAAGATCCTATATTCATTTTATTTATATTAAATATTTTATATTATTATTCATATTAAATATTAATATTTCTTAGTGAGAATTCACTTAGAAATTTTGTTTCCTGGTATATAAACGCTGTAAAAGTTGTATTCAAGTTTTTTTTATTAAAAAAGGTGTTTTACAAAGTCCTACACAGCAACACAGGTTCAACACAGCTCCGATATCCAAATGCCTGATACCTTCACGGTACTTGAAACATGGGCGGTACAAAGAGATTAATTATACATATAAAAATGTATGTAATGTAAATTGCAACCATACATGTGAAGGTAAATGTTTAAATCGGCTTTGAATATTAAAAATACTTACATGTGGCAACTCCCACGTAGTCATCCCTCTTGAGGAGAACTTTGCTATGCGGTCATCGAACCCGATGCCACCCACGCCGATAACATCCATTTGATCAGCTGGATTATTCAATGTACCATACAAGGGTCCATCATTACCAATCGCTGATACCATAATCACCTGTTTTAACAGTTTGAATTCATTATAACTTCGACACATCAAAGCGCAATTTAAGGCACTTTCTGCTACCACCAGCCTCCACCAACAACCACCTGCTGTCAGTAGAAATTCATGTGAGAAGAGTTATTTAAAGAGCGTAATATTGAAGGCCGGCAACCTCACTAAGTTGCAAGTTTATGGACAGCGATCAACGATAAGTTTATTTAATAATAATAATTTTATTTGTTGCCACAAACACGTTACATACCAGGCTCCTGAAGTAGTGAGAACTGTATTTCAGGAGCCCGTGACCTCCCGTGACCCCGGTGAGTTGCATGTATTGTGTAGCAATATCGATAATTAATTCCAATAATTTAAATATATAACAAATTAAATCAATTTATCATAAAGTAACATACATTAATCTGATTTCTCTGTTTTTGTGTGTTAGGATTTATTGTTATTGATTATCAATTAATAATATTTTATTTGTAAGTTCTATTCACAGTTGTATCTTTACAAAAGAATTAGATTTATTACAAAAAACAGCGTTGATTTAAACGTCACAAAACCTAAATGTTTATAAATGATTTTCCTTTCTAATAAAATATTAGGTCCTTACATATGAAATTGGCGTTTTGTATGAAAACTATAACGTTGGAACCAAAAACGCACTGTGCTGTCTTTTGCGACACATCATTAATCCTTCGAACCATTTCTGCAGCACTGTTGCCACGGTGAAACTCGTACTCGTAAATAACGCGATATTTCCATTGTCATATTTTTTTCCATTTTATAAATAGAGTGAAGCAAAGAAAAAAAATCAAACCAGAAAATGAAATTAATCATGGTTTTAAAAAACAAATGCACGAGCGTAAAAAATTGAATTTGGAAGTCCTACACAAAGAGATATTTGAGATCAAAGTGACCAGTACGACAAAACGCCAATTTCATATGTAAGGACCTAATATTTGTTATACTAAAATGTTATATGTCATACAATGGAACTTCTATATTTATTCGCTAACCTTATTTGCAGTCAATTCCCATACTTTATCAACAAATGGGTGATCCATAAAATCTGGTCCACCTATACTTAGATTAAGGACGTCAATTTTCTTCATAATTGCATAATTAAATGCATCGAGGAACCATGATGTATAGGACACCTAAAATAATTGTATTATTAAAAATTTGTGATATTTAATAACCGATGGAAATTTAACAAATTAAACATTTATTCAACGGTATGTTATCATAATTCTGTACCTGTATTACTGATTTGTATTTGGTGCTCAAACTATTTTGACTATGATTTAAATTAATTATTATACATGTTTTCTTTTATTATTGTTTTGGAAGTAGATTAAAGTCTCAAAAAAACTAGTATATTTTACACTAGTTTTTTTTGAGACTCACTAGTTTCACAGTTTAAAGTGTTTTTTCTTTGTTGATTTGTTATGACAAAATAAAATTAAAAAGTAAACTGAACCAAAAGCGGGTCAAAGCTTCTACACAGTTGGGTTTGGAGGGCCCAATTATGGACCAACCGATAATCAGAGATAAACTCAAATCGTCAAATTACGGAATCTTGACGATTACCGCTTACTGTGTAGAATCGGACCCTATTTTGTATTCGTCGTTCGGTTAATATATACCTAACAATCGCAAACACAACGTAAGCGCGTTTCAGAAATATTTTTTCAGTCATTCAAATACACGACTTAATCGTGGATTTGAATCATTCAGGGTGTTTTTTTATTTTTTTTTAGTAGTTTGCACCTAGATTAAGTATTTAATACCTTTTTTATAAGGCATACTAATAAATAAGGGGACTCAATCAAATCCGACTTTCTGTAAGAACCACGCGAATATGTCAAATCGCTTTACGTCAATAGATGGCGTTTATACGGCAACATTTCAAAGGACCCTAAGGAGAAATGAGAATATCAAAAAGGTATATCTATGAACGTGACGTAGCAGTCGTACGCTGAAACGCAATCGCCTCATCAAGTTGTGTAAATAATAAAATAAATAGCGGTTAAACAGACCTGTTGGCAATTAATTAAATCCCAGATAAGTCTTACTAATAAATAAGGGGACTCAATCAAATCAGACTTTCTGTAAGAACCACGCGAATAATTCAAATCGCTTTACGTCAATAGATGGCGTTTATACGGCAACATTTCAAAGGACCCTAATGAGAAATGAGAATATCAAAAAGGTATATCTATGAACGTGACGTAGCAGACGTACGCTGGAACGCAATCGCGTCATCAAGTTGTGTAAATAATAATATAAATAGCGGTTAAAAAGAACTGTTGTCAATTAATTAAACCCCAGATAAGTCTTACTAATAAATAAGTCCCCTCAATCATTCGGTTTATAAAAAAACCGGCGAATATTTCAATCGCTTTGCGTCAATAGATGGCATTAATACGGCAACATTTCAAAGGACCCTAATGAGAATATCAAAAAGGTATCTATGAACGTGATGTAGCAGTCCTATGCTGGAACGCAATCGCCAGATCAAGTTGTGTAAATAATATAATAAATTAACGGTTAAAGAAATTTTATTTGACGGTATACACAAAAAGACCAAAATCAATATTTATATAATATACTAACATTAATATATATCGATTACATGTTGAATTTTTATGCCCAAAAAATAAATCCCATCATAAAATTACAATTACAATATAAAAACGTAAACTTTAATAAAAAGCGGGTCGAAGCTACTACACAGTTAGGTTCAGAGGACACACTTACGGGTCCCCCTTATAATCATCGAGGAAATCAAATCGTCTAACAACGGAATCTTGACGATTTCCGCTTACTGTGTAATATCGGACCCTACTCTGTATTAAACCTTCGGTTAATATATATCTAACAATCGGGAAAACTTCGATACCGCGTTTCAGAAATATATTTTCCATAGTTCAAATTTTACGAAAATACATGTTTTTTCTATTTTTTTTATGGAGCTAATTTAAATACTTCACAGAAAATTTAATTTTTTTTATAAGTTATTGAGTTTTAAGCATGTTTTTAAGGTTATTTAAAAATAATTTTATTTTCTATTCTTTTATAAAAATGATTTATTTCGACTTTATTAACGCTGTCTTTAAAACAAAAGCAGTATAAAAGTCCGGCGAGTAGTTTAATGAATGTAAATCTCATAAAAAACGTACTTTAAGCAGCATCTTTGCATTTGTTTTCTATTGAAGAGTTTTTAATTATGATATGTGGGTAAACTTCTAGCCACCTCTGTTAAAGTGGTTAGTGCGAAAACCTTTTTAGAGGTTTTCCGAAGCTAGATTCCAGGTAATACAATAATTAAATAGTATTTGTATGCAATGCATATAATTGGCTGCTCACCTACTTGTTAAGGATCAATGTTATGTACCCAGAAATATCTACCCCATTTGAGGTTGTGGCTGTGTTTTTCAGCATGTTCGATTCCCATGGAATTAACAAAACAAAAAACCTGGTTATCAGTAAAAACGCGAAATATATGCAATTCAGCATCAGGCGCGAATCCAAGGCAGTCTGCTCTTGAAGCGATGACCCCAGCAACAAACGTCCCATGCCCCAAGGCATCATCTAGCGTTTTCTCCCCGGTCCAATCGGTACGTTCACGTATATGACCAAAATGTGGGTGATTACGTGACAGCCCGGTATCGAATACTGCAACTTTGATGCCTTCACCTACAATTAATTTTACATTGTTATTCGTGTATGAACAGAGTCTTACTCAGAGTCTAACATTAAGTCTCTAGTGGTACATTCAAGAGCAAATCTTCTAGGTACAAGCATAAATTAGTAAACACCTCATCTTATCACCTCAAAAACAAATGAACATGACTGAATTATTAAACTTACTTAATTTTGTTGAATAAAGCATTAAATTAAGGCAGGTTTAAAATTTTAGTTTCTATAATTTCATAGTCATAACTGTTTTTGAATAATAACAAAACATGGAATACTGATAAGTATGAGAAAATTATATTGAAGTCAAGTAGGAAACCAGAACTTACCTGTTACACCAAGGGACCACAACACATCTGCCTTCAATACTGACGTTATCTGTCGGGGTACGGTTCTTAACAGCTTTCGGGATGAGTAGCCATCATTCTAAGAGGAAGAATAATCTTAATATATATATTTCTTCTGTGCGTGTGTATGTGACTGAACTGCTCTCAAACGACTGGACCGATTTTGATGAAATTTTTTGTGTGTGTTCAAGGGGATCTGGGAATGGTTTAGATTCACAAATCAGCACGGCAGATGGCACTGCAGTCGGTACTTTCATACTTTGCTTAATATCCTAATCGCTTTAAATATCATGCAGGACAACGTCTGTGGGGTCCACTAGTATTTATATAAATATCTACCCTAATTTCCTTTAAAGTAAACTTTATAGGCCAGTAGGTGATCATCTTTGTTTTTGTCATTCAAGCCAAGAGATGCCAGCTTATTCACATCGTTTTCCTGTGTACAGGCAAGTGTTAATTCCCAATATAGAGGGAATGCTGTTGAATATTTCTCTATAGAATGATGCTTAATACAATACTCTACTAATGTGACTCACATAGTATGATAGACATATTATTCATCATGATTTATTGCAGTTTCTGTGCCTAAATCATAATGAATATCCCTGTAATAATAAACAAGGTACTCACTTCTTGCAACTTTCTAAGAGAGTGTAAAGCTTGCCCCTTGATACTTTGACTTCTCCACCCAGAGTAGAGACATTCTGGTGATCCACAGTCATCCTATAATAAAACAATTACTTTATTTAGACGTCAAGAAATTACAGAAACCATATCACATATAATATATATAGTAGGCTTTTATTATTAACTACTTAATCACCAGGCCATAATATATTTTTTTTTTAAATTGTGCGTGTACTAGGTGTACACACGTAAGAAGTGAAACTTCTTTATGATCTTATTTTTCGAAAAATGATCTACTATATGCAACTTTACAGAAATTCGGTAAATTAGATAAAGTTTAACAAAAGGCTTTTAATATCATAGACATGAATACAAATATTTCATTTTACCTTATTACTACGAAGATTATTATTGAATTTCATTAATTGTAATAGAATTATTACTATCATTGAAAAACGTGACGATTTGCTACAAAATTTCTCCCTTACGTCGATAAAGAAGTTTCATTCCAACGCCGATAAAGAAGTTTGACTTCAAAAAGCAACATGGCGCGTAACCGAAAAATGTGACGCGTAACGAAAAAATGTTACACTAAATTTTTTTCCAACCTCGATAAAGAAGTTTCACTTCAAAAATATATTAACTATTACACTGTTATCAGGAGATTTTTTTTCAACTATATGGCTCACATGCAACATCCAGTCAGCAAGACTTTTATAAATAAAATAAAATAGCCTTTATTACTGTAAGTTTTAAAGTTAGTATATATAAATTAAAATTATAAAATATCCCTAATTACAGTGTGCCTTTCGGCAAAGGCCTCCTCCAATTCTTTCCACTGTGTTCTGTCCAAGGCGACTCTCCTCCAGTTTGGACCTGCTGTCAGTTTTAGCTCGTCCTCCCATCGTCTGTACTGACGTCCTCTACTTCTCTTGCCGTTACGTGGATACCACTGTGTGACGATGTTGCTCCATTTGTTCTTTGAAGAAGAAGAAGAACGCATCAAGTGTCCTGTCCACCTCCATTTTTGTTGGTCTATTCTGATCAGTATGTCGGTTAGTTTTGTCCTACGCCGTATGTCGGTGTTTCGAATTTTATCTTTCCTCTTGATGCCGAGCATACTTCTTTCAACTGCATGCTGGAATGTTGACAGTTTTTTCCTGTGTAACTGTGTAAGGGACCAAGTCTCACATCCGTATGTAACACAGGGCAGTATACAGGTATTAAATACTTTTTTCTTTAGACCTATATTCATAGCCTTGCTCTTCATTATTTCTTTCATTGCCCAGTATTTTCTCCAGCCATTAGCAATTCTTTTGTGTATTTCTTTAGACATTTGGTCTTCGTGAGAGATTATTTGCCCTAAGTAAACATATTCTTCTACATACTCTAATATCTTTCCATTCACTTTGATTTCTGTCTTGATAGAGTTTGTCATCACCTTAGTTTTTTCTGTATTCATGGTTAGTCCAGCTTTGATACTTTCATTTGTAAGCATTTCAATCATAACCTGCAGTTTTTTTGGGTTTTCTTCAAAAAGAATCAGATCATCCGCAAAGCGAAGGTGGCTAAGTAATCTTCCATTAATATTTATACCGACTTGATCCCAGCTGATATTTCGGAAAATGCCTTCCAAAGCAACTAGGAATATTTTCGGGGAGATAGGATCACCCTGTCTAACACCTTTGCTGATTTGAAAGGTGCTTCCTAGTTTCTCTAGTTTGATTCTTGCTTTGCTGTGGTTGTATATTTCCTTTAATATATTCAAATACACATTATTTATTCCCATTTGTTGTAGGCATTTCCACATATAGTTGTGATTAAGGCTATCAAAGGTTTTATTGTAGTCTATGAAGGCGGTGTATAGTGGTAGATTGTATTCTCTGTATTTTTCCATTATTTGTTTTACGGTATGAATATGATCTAAAGTGGAGTAATTGGTTCTAAAGCCTGCTTGTTCTTCTGGCTGATTTTCATCAATCTTTTTACATATCCTGTTGAGAAGTACCTTTGAAAATATTTTATAGATATTAGACATAAGGCTGATGGGTCTGTAGTTATTGACATCCTCTTTAGAGCCTTTTTTATGGATCAATATTATATGCGATATGTTCCATTGTTGTGGGATGATGCCTGTGTTAACTATTTTGTTGAAGATATCTGTTAATAGTGGGCTTATCTCTTCTATGGTACCTTTTAGTAGTTCATTGTATATCATGTCTGGTCCAGGAGCTTTATCCAGTTTTTGACTTTTATTGCTTTTTCCACTTCGCACTGTAGAATATCAGGTATTCTTTGTCTTGTGTGCTATATTCTGAAGGGTTTATCACTTTGTTTTTGTTGTTTGCATTTGTCTCATAGTTTATTTGTTTACTTTGATCGGAATAAAGTGTCTTATAAAAGTCTGTTGTTGTCTCTAGAATGTCCTTCCTTTGAGTAAAACTCTTTTCTGCATTCTTCAATTTTGGAATCCAGTCATTTTTCTCTCGTAGTACTTTCAGAGCCTTTCTTGTGCCACCAGATTTTTCTATGTAATTTTCCAACGTTCTTAGTCTCTTAGATCTTTGGTCATTCCTTATATGCTCTCGTATTTGTTTGCTCAGTTTATTAATTTTTTTTTAAATTTCCTTTTTTGTCTTCTTGTATCATTTCTTTTCTTTCTGCAAGTAGTTTTAGCGTTTTGTCACTGAGTTTTTTTGATTTATTTTTTCCATTTTGTTGTTTGTTGCTAACACTGCTGGTCAGTTGTAATTCTAGGCTGTTATATTGTTCTGTAATGTGTAGGGTTTTGTAGGTTTCATTTTTTGCTAAGGAGTTAATTTTAGTTTTTATTTCTTGAATATTTTCGTGTTTAAAATCTTTTCCTGTAGTTTTGTGTATATGTTTTCTTGATTTTTTAATGTTTTTTGGAAGTAGAGTTCCACTAACCATTCTGTGGTTAGTATTAAAGTTAAGATTTTGAATAATGTCTACGTCGACAAAGGTTTTGGGATTATTCGATAGGATGTAATCAATTTCATTTCTAGTTTTTCCATCAGGGGAGACCCATGTCCATTTGCATTTTGTTTTCTTCTTAAACTTAGAGTTCATTAGGTATAAGTTGTTCTCCATTAAAAATTCTGCCAGTCGTTGCCCATTCACGCTTCTTTTGCCATGGCCATATTTTCCAATTATAAAATCTTCGTTGGCTTGTCTAGTACCGATTTGGGCGTTGAAATCGCCCATGACTATAGTGTTTTTATTTTGATTGTTTCTTATGTGGTCCGCTAGAGTGTTATAGAAGAGCTCCGTCTCTGTTTCATCGGCTTGTTCTGTTGGTGCGTAGATTTGTATTAGTGTCCATTGTTCTGGGTAGCCTGGGAGGAGTATGTTGAGTACAGCTATTCTGTCGTTTAAGCCTACAAATTCCTGGATATTATTCTTTAGAGATGCCTTTACAAGAAATCCTACACCTCTATGGCCAGCCTTTTCTCCTTTGTAATACATTACATATTTTGGATACTCTTCAATGCCTTCACCCAGTCTTCTCATTTCGCTAATACCAATGATATCCCAATTGAGGTTTTCAATCGCTAGTTCTAATTCTTTAAGACTTTCATCTGTTCTAAGTGTTCGAGTGTTAAGTGTTGCTATATGTACCTTGTTTGATGGAGGGTTGTGGTCGCATTCCCCACGGGGACCAGCCGGATTGGGGAGTAATCTGTCGTTATTGTTCTGTTTATAGTTGTCGTGCTTTTTCCTGGTTCTGGTCTGCCGTGTGTAAGTTTTATTGATTGTTTGATCTGCCAATATTGGAAGCTGAGTTTGCTCTTGAACGAAATATTTGTGGGTGTGACTTACTAATTTTTGTAGGTGCCGATGTTTCTGTGTTTATGCTGCCGTTACCATTATCTGAAGATGACCTTCTCCTTTTGGCATCTGTTGTACCTTTTTCTTGTATTATTAGTTTGTCATATCGTATAAAAGCTAGTTTCCCATCCTTTTCTGCCTTAATTTTCATTTGTTTTAACTCTTTACGTTTGATTAGAACTTCCTTTGGATAGTCTTCCGTAGCATATATGTTAGAAGGAAAGTAGTGGTTGTTCTTTAGGAGTTCATACTTCCGCCATGCTAGAGTGAGTGTTATAAGTATTGGTCTTTTTTTACCTTCCATCTTCTTGCCGAGCCTTCTTAGGTTGCTGAGTTCCCACTGGTCCCATTCCCGCGTTTCTTTATTTTTTCGACTAATTTCGTTTAGTATCTCTAGTACGTTTTTCATGAGATCATTCGTGTTTGTTTCGGTTTCAGCTACGCTATGAAGTATAATGTTGTTTTTTCTTGTAGTTCTCTCTAGATCCCTGACTCGTGTCTGAAGAGTTTTTACCTCTTGTTTTAGGTTTTTGTTTTCTTCCCTCATTGGTTTTAGTTTTTGGTCAATAACATTTATCAGGTTCCTGTTAAATTTTTCTGTTAAATTTTTTTACCATATAAGACTTTTATACCAGTCTTTAATTCTTAAGAGAAGTTAAAGGAATGGATTTTTCCCCACATTTTGACTGATATCACTGTTTATAAGTATACTTAAGTAACCAATTTCTGTAACACATATGTCAGGTTTTTTGTGAGTCTGTTAATACTAATTCAAAACATTCAATGTTTTTTCATTTTTCAATTGAAATACAAAAAAACATGGATTGTTAATATAAGTAAATACCTCTTTGATGTATTTTATAGTGCGCTGTACTTGTCGTTGGGCTGTGATTCGTCGTATGGCAGGGTGATCACCTAGTGATTTTATAGCCAGATCTTGATCTTCATTAAGTACAATAACTTCAAAGTCACTAGGGAATTCTATAGCTGCATTCTTTCTCTCCAAGATAGTCCAATTTTTTATCTGAAATGAACAAATCATACATGGAATTATTAAAGAGTGTGTCACTTATGTATAAAGTAGTTATTTACACAAACAAAAAAAAATATAAACATTGGAGTATCAGTAGTCTTAATTGAAATTAATTTCAAGGATCAACGCAAAAAACACGTACTCATGAATTCTTAAGAGCAACTTTAATATAGTTTTCTCTAGATAATTTAGAAAAATAACCAGAAAATGAAACTATGTGCTCATTTCGCACAACATCAGCTATAAACTGATAGTCTACATATTCTGGATTTGTACTACTACAACTATTTGCATTCTGTTTCTTTCCATTTATGCATAAGGCTAATGCTATTAATCCCAGGGCGCGCAAAGCAGTTATTTACATATATTACAAAAATATTAACATTGGAGGAACTGCAGTCTTAATTGAAATTAATTTTAAAGTTCAATGCAATATACACTTACTCCTGAATTCTTAAGTGCAGCTGTAATATAGTTTTCTCTAGATAATTTAGAAAAATAACCAGAAAATGTAACTATGTGCTCACTTCGCACAACATCAGTTGTAAACTGATATTCTACAAATTCTTGATTTGTACTATTACAACTATTAGCATTCTGTTTCTCTCCATTTATGCATAAGGCTAATGCTATGCATCCCAGGGCCGCGCAAAGCAGGAATTGGGTTAATCCCATATCTGACTCAAGTACACAGTTATAACATGATTTGTACTAGGGATTTGTCAAACAAAACAGCAGATAGACTTGATTATTTATTCATTATTACAATGGCGACGCAGCGTTCTTTATAGTAACATTAATAATTGAAGTAATTGAAGCACTTATCGCAATGTCATCAAGGGACTTTAATTATTTTGGAACGATGTAGCCAACGGCTAAGGCTTGAGGATTCATCTTTTGTGTGTTTAAATGTAATTAAACTTGAATTATATTTATGGTCTTCTGAACCCTGAAATAAACTCAGTTGAAATAATAGCACTGAACAGTTATAAATGAATGTAGTTTTTAAATTAGAGTTAAGATGCGGATTTACGAAGTACGAAGTCGTAAGATGTAAACATCAAATTCAAAAGTCAAAGCCAAGTTAAGTTATATTGTAATCTGTGATCAAAACAAAGATCACAGATTAAAAGAAAACTTAACCATAGTGTGTAAATCTGCGAACAGCCACAGGCAAGGCGTACCTTCTATCTATTTATCTTCATTGTTACAAAGAGTGTCTCACCGCCGATTTTAAACTTAGGGACTAACGGAAGGGAAGTGGTAGCGTTCGGTAGGTGACGAGTGTGGATTTTTTAATCGCTCATTGCTATGTCGCAGTGAATCATTTAATTCGCACGTAAAATAGACCTGCGTCATCGATTGAAACTATCGACCGCCGACCGGCATCCACGACGATCAGTTAGAAAACATGCTGCCTCTTTGTGCCTCCACCGTTCAAGTCTTCAACGAATTTTGGATAAAGATTGGACTTAAGATTACATCCCTATAAGATCCAAATATTCCAAAAAATCAAACCAGAAGTTTACAACCATCGAAAAATTTCCTGTCATAAGATGTTAGAGATTATTTCAGAAGAAAATGGGATGGACGGTGTTTATTTTGGTAATGAGTCACACTTTCACCTCAAAGGGTACGTCAATCGTCAAAATTGCCGTTACTGGTCATCAAGCAATCCCGAATAAAAACAACAGAAAGCATTACACAGCCCCAAAGTTACGGCCCTTTCACACGGCAGTCCAGTTTTTTACAGGATCCCGTTTTCTCCAGGATCCGTTTTGATGGCGAATGTGTTTATATGCTAGCGTTTACACGAGCATGCGGGATCCTGAAAAACCGATCCGGTCGAATTGTGCCATTCGGTTTTGTCACTAGAAACTGGATCCGTAGTCCAGTAAAAAGCGGGATCCCGTTTACATTTTTTAATCACACATACATTTCAATAGCAGTGTTCACACGGCTTCCTGCGTGTGGTTTTTTGCTGGACACTGTTTTTGCGGGATAGTGGAGTGGTGGCAGCCCTCGAGCCAATTTCAGCCAAATTCGAGCGTTGTGTCAGAATAGGATGAACCCTGAATCTTCTATTTCGCTGCCGACGTCGATAATACCAATAGAAAATTAGAAAAGTATTCACGTCCATTTCACCTGATAACCGGCGTAGGAATGGTAAATAAACAGGAAACAGGATGCCATGTGAACACAGCGTCCAGTTTAGCAGGATACCGAAAAAATCCCATCCTGCAAAACTGGACTGCCGTATGAATACTAATTTATTGCAATTATGTATAATATAACAAATACAATTTGCTTTTTTTTTAATAATATTAAAAGTTTAAAAACGGCGCTGAGACACCCTATATAACATGCTCTAGGAATCAATAAAAATTAATGTACCGTCGAACAATCATTAATCTTAGCTTTAATCTCATTAACTGTTTAGACGGTCTCACCCAAAAATAATGTGGTTTTATAATAACTGTCATAAATAGAACTTATAATAAATTTGTTATTACATATTAACGTTTAACAATTTACAATTGTCTAGTCCTACATAAATCGTTTAAATATGTGTTTAGTTTCTTTACAAAAGCAAGCCGCTGTCTTGAACTTAAATTAAAAATATTTTTAATTAATTTGTTGGATATAAAGAAACATAGCATTGTTAAATGTAATAAAATGAAAATATGTGAACTGAGAGGGTATTATTCTTAGACATTTGTAAGTAGAGAAGAGTTGTTACATGGTTCGTACTCTCTATAAAATCTGGCGAGTAGGAGGATTGACAACCAAATAAAAGCCAGGCCATAGTCAAACAGGAGACGGATATAAATTTGTTGACTTTAACGTCCATGCGAGTCATGACTGTCACTGTAATATTTACGTAAAATACTTTTTTTATAATTTATTTTGTTATTCCTTAAATTTTACCTACATACTTATATAAATTGATCACAATCATGGCTTACAACCGTAATCAAAGATTTGCCTCATCGCCTCCATATTTTAGACTTTTAGATCCTGGCGCATATCAAAACATTAGTACAGTGTTAGTGAAAAGCAATAAAGCACCATTTCTCTCCAAAAAAGAAAGAAAAATACAGTCTGGCAATACAATATGGACTCATGCAATATATAACAACAATACTGCGTCCTTCATTCCCAACTGTTCTGCCTTTATGTCCAATATTCCTCGATTTGCGTATGAAGCTGTTAATAAATTTTCTAATATCGAAGATATTTTATGTGAATGCGAAGATCCAAATGTTTGCGAATGCGAAAGTGATAGTAAAATACCACCGGAAGTAATATGTCAAGGAAAGGTTAGACGTATATTATATAAAGGCCCACCACCAAAATCCAATCAAAGTTGTGGACTGTCAGCTCCTTCGAAAAACGATAAAGGATTTGAGGTCACCCCCGATGGCTCCCAAAAACGTGTTTTTATAAAACCTGAGAAAGAATGTCCTCCATTTTATAATACGGCAATAAATGAATCCACGGTGTTTTATAGAGGCTGTAAGTGGAGTCGCAGGACAGGTAAAGTTCCTATGGCTAAAGACAACTTTCCTGGGCCGGCACATTATTCATTAGTGCATGAGCCAAATATTACTGAAATTTGTGCTGAAAAAGTAAGATCCTTTAAAAGAAAAACATCCAAGCAATTCCGTTTTATAGAAATGGTCCAAAGAAGAAATATATTAGACAATTTGCCTGGACCGAGTAGTTATAGCCCTGAAAATATTAAAGGGATTCAATTAAGTTATTTAGGACCAAAGGCAGCACGATTTCCTGGTTCTATTTTGAATAAAAATAAATGGCCTGGACCAGCAGACCATTATCTTCAACGTGACTTTGATCAACCTAAACGTCCAATTAAATTATGTAAAGCAATCTTACCACAAAGAGCACCTTTTTTATCTCACGCCACAAGACTAAAAACTCCAAAAATAGTTGATTTAAGTCCAGCAAGCTATTTTCCCATATATAAACCTTGCCAATTTATTCGATGTTCAAAAGCTCCATTTCTTGTGTCCACAAAAAGATTTGAAGAAACCATTTATGATGAAGAAGAAGATCACGACTATCTTGAAGAATCTGAAAATGGTTCACGCGAGGATAAAGATATAAAAATAACAAAAAATCCCACATGGCAGTTTAAATCCCAAACGGTGAGAATGAGACCTTTAAAAAAGGAAGCTCTTAGATCCATGACAATTCATGCGCAACCATCAGGAATTAAAAAAAGACAGCTAGAGTTACAACATTGTTCACCATTCTATTCATCTGAAGCAAGATTTCGACCTTGGTTTAACTGGATAGCGGTTCATGCAAAGGTTAAAACGCCTGGACCATCTTACTACAAACCAGAAAAAGCAAGATGTTACCCTGCAGTCAGCCATGGGCCGTTAACAAGGGTTCAGAGATTCCTACCCTTCAATAAACAGAGCCCTGCGCCAAATGAGTACAACGTTTCTAATGGTATCGAAACAATTTTACACACTCATAACGAACGATTAAAAAGTAATATTATAAATCAGCACAAATTTCATTGGAATCCGCCAGGAGTATCAAGACTACTAAATAATGAAGAGAAAGAATTGATTTTACTAAATAGGTCAATAGAATTATTAAATCCAGATGATGTTATTGATAGTTTTGGATCCAAGTTAAAACGTGGTAAAAAAGAAAAGAAAGTACTACGTTGTTTTGTTAAAAATTAAAATGTTTAAAGTAACAGGGACAAAATATAGAAATGTAGGTATTTTATACCGGCCAACTATGGTAGTATTTTATTTTATCCGATTAACCATAGAGTTAATCAGCACTTTTTGATGTTATAATTCTTTTGGCGCGTTAGGGATATATGATGAGAGTAAAATTTTTTCTATTATTAGTGTCGTTTTTTCCACAAAAGTAGAAAAAAAAGGTGAAAGATAAATTTTTTGAAAAGATTTTTATTTTGTTACGCCAAAGAAACATAACTTCTAACGCGTTTACGTAAGTACACACACCTTTTTTTTAATAAAGCAGCTATCAGCTATGTAGATTGCAACCACGTAAGCAATTGTGGAACATTTATAATAAAATTGGTGCAAATAATAATGCGTACTTAATAAATAGCGATGTAAAGGAAATATAGCGAAAATATCTATAGACTGCATCAGATATCGAGATTTTGACGAAACTATTATATTAGAGTCATATTGTTCATAATTATGAATAAATTTGGTATATTACAGTCAGAATGAGAATGGTTGTTTAGTTGTGATTCACTGCAATCTTTCCATATTTATTTCCTGTCACTTAATCATTTTCCAGCATAATGCGCCACTGAGTCGCATTATGCTCTTTAATTGGAAAACAGGGTTAATAAACACCACCTTTTTGAAATGAATTAAGCCGCGTCTGCCTACGTCAAAATCAAAATTCACAAAATATGTCAAAAAACAAAAATCTGAAATCTTGACGTTAACAATATATTTTGTTTTTACAGATAATAATTATTTATTATATAATTTTTAGCAATGTTGTTTATTTATTGAAAAATAAAATTAAAAGATATAGTAAATTCAATTGCTAATTAGTAATTGCTATTAGTATATAATGTCGCGTATACCAGCTGTGCATTTAAAAATGCCGTCTGGAGTCAATCAAACAGGGACCGTTATATTTTTCCATGGCTCTGGTGTGTAATGAGTTAAAGTACCAATTGTAGTTCCAACGTGTAAGTAGGAGAATAAATAAAATTAAATACAGACGGTAAAATTATTTCCAGGTGGCACTGGTGACTTGATGAAGCAATGGGTGGACTTAATGGTTAAAAACTTTTCATTTTCTCAAATAAAAATAATATATCCTACAGCTCCATTACAGCCATATACACCAGCGGCTGGTGAAATGAGAAATGTTTGGTTTGATCGTATAGATATTAACCAAAAAGTTCCTGAAAATTTATCTTCACTAGCACAAATAGAAACAGAAGTTAAAAATTTAATCAATACAGAAGTTTCAAGTGGTATTCCAGTGAATCGGATTATAGTAGGTAAGACTACTTATATTAATTTATTTTTCATAAGGTGTCCTATGAATATTAGATGAGATATTTCATTCAAAGGTGTGTTAGTAGGGTTTTTTCTTTCATTGATATATTAGATTAATTTAGGTAAATGATTTGCCCATGTGTATGATAATATGATAGTGATTTAGGATATATTTATATTGTTTTTTCTCAATTAAAATAATAATAGTGGATTAAAGATACAGTTTAAAATGGGATTAAGAATGTTTTATTTGTTATTACCTAATACAATAGAATCCAGCTGGGACCTTTGATTTTGGTCAATATAACCGATATGTTGTTCTAAACGATCTTGACTGTAATTACTTAATGAAACAGATGCACAAATGAGCAGAATAAATGAAAATCATATATAGTTTTTATAATTTAAATGTTGCATTTGTTTCAGGTGGATTCTCAATGGGTGGTGCTTTAGCACTGCACACAGCATATAGATGGGAGCCTAACTTAGCAGCAGCATTCGCCTTTAGTTCTTTCTTAAATGATAATTCTATTGTTTATAAACAACTTAAAGATAGTGAAGGGAAAGGTAAGTAGTAGAACCTCGTTAAGTCGAACCTCGATAAGTCAAAAACCTCCAAATCTCGAAAAAATGTTTTGTTCCCTTCCCTTAAAACACCAAAACCTCCATTACTTGAAATCTTGACCCTCTGTTAATCGAAATAATCACCGAGTCCCTCCAAGCCATTTTGGTACATATTTTCACTCTATAACTCGAAAAATTAAATTTGACCTCTGTATCTCGAACATAGGAACGTTTTATTTTACAACCTTTACAACTTGATCATTTGGAATTTATTATCTCTATTGTTCGAACAAAAATAAGTTACCGACTTTAAGAACTTGCCGCCAATGTGAGTACACTATTGTTTCTTAGAAAACATTTTAGGAGTATACAATAATAAATTTATGACTCATGGAAACACGTGTTTGCTTGCCTTGTGTCAGGTGTTCAATTTTGATTCCCTTGGAAATTTAGCTAAGCCAGTCATTTGTTTTCGACTTAAATACTGTCAGAAGTAGTTTGGTTCTACTGCAATACAACATTAGTACAACAGTTAACATGAGTGCTGTGAAACGTAAACTAAAAACTTTGAGTCTTGCTGAAAAATTAGAAGTGCTCGAAGCTGTGAAGAGCTGTCAAAAAAACTCTTTATGTCGAATCAAAATCCGCCTAAGTCGAAATGCTCCATAAGTTGAAAACTCTATAACTCGAATTTTTTGGCGTCTCCCTTGATGTTCGACTTATAGAGGTTCTACTGTAATTATTTTTTTTAAAGTTATTTACTATACTTAAAGTGGCTTCCTTATTCATAAAAACTTAATCAATCTGATTGCACTCTTTCGCCTCATTATCTCAAATTTTGTTTATGATATTATGAAAAGAGACTGTACTTCAGTTAAAATGGTGAAAAGATTTATGAATAAGAGAGTAGGTTGTATTACATTAATTGTTTCTTTCAAACTAGTCCATATTTCAGTGCCTCCATTACTACATATCCATGGAAACAGTGATGATCTTGTTGATTTATCTTGGGGGAAAACTACTTTTGAACACTTAAAAACACTAGGTGTCCAAGGAGAATTTCATACTATTCATAGACTGGGACATTCTATAAACAGAACTGGACTAAATCTCATATATTCATGGATACAAAAGCATCTGCCTGAAATATAAATGTTTTTAAATTGCTCTTAGTATATATTATTAGTATAAATATTTACTTTTTTCAAATGTGTTGAATTAAGTTTAAAAGTATAAATTAAAATTTTATGCTGCTTTTTATTTGATCTCAATATCATTTGTTTTTTTAGGATTCGTTTTATTTTAATATATAATATTTATATATATAATTGTTTATACACTTTATCAATAAAGATAAATAATATTTTCTTTTATACTGAAGTGTTGTAAAGGTAGAAACTTTTTGTGAACCGTCCCAGTAAATAAAATTTAATTAATTAATTACCTATTCTCATACTTATCAAAAATACATAAATCTTATATAAACCGGTCAAGTTGTTTCAAAACAAAATGGCAAGATTTTTTTTTATTATATTAATTTTATGGCTGTATAAGGTTTACTTACCTTATAAAAAAGTAAATTTTAAACCTTATTGTCAGATAATGTCACTGTTTGCTATTGTGAACTTAGATTTTGCACCATTTCTTAATATTTATTTATAGTTTATAATCATAAAACAAATAAATTGTTTTGTAATCAAACAACTACATATATTATAATATGGGGCCTAAAAAACCTAGTAAAGATACAGAGGATGAATATCTCTGGCGCACCTGCATTGAAGAAGCCGCATTAGATGATGATACATGGAAAGTTAAAGTAATTTTATTTGAGGCAGCTGGTAGTGACCAAGACAGATTATACTTAAATAAATTTGAGGTATATGCAGCGGAAGAAAGACGTTTTGTTATAAAAAATATCTGCAAAACTGAAACGATATTTATGGTTAATCAATTGGGTGGGGAAAAAAAAGTTAAGGATGAGAATCTTAGAGTATTCGAAGAAGGCCAGTCTTATTTAAAAGAAAAGCGTGATATTCCGGCAGATATTTTAGCTTTAATAATAAAAAAATTGATATTGAAAATGAAAGATGAATACCTTTTTATTAAACGCCAAAAGCTGGAAGTCAGAGAAGGGATTCGACGTGAGTCTAATACTATGATTAACAGGGCAGAAGTTCGGGGAACTGTTATTGTTAAAGCACCTGAACCAGTTGAACCGGCCCAGGAAGTCCCGAAAGGTAAAGGTAAAAAGGGAGAGCAGGAAATTCCAGAGGTTCCAGAAACAGACGAAGATAAAAAGTACAACACGCAACTTCGAGTAAGAGGTGAAGAGTGGAGAGACAAAGTGTACGTAGATGATTTCCCTACAGATGGTCCTAACATTTATGTTGCTGTCACAGGATTTGTTGAGCCATATCTTGCTGAAAGTCTTATAAAAATAGGAATACCTTTAACAGCCGTAGTACAAATTAGAATTAACCCGGCTGAGGTTAGAATACCGTCAAGTTTATTTCGGGCAACGAAACGTGGCCAAAGTCAAACGGATCTTATAATGGAACAGTCATTAAAGTTTTGGGAAGATTTGCAGCAATTAAGAATACAAAAACAATCAGCCGATTATTTTAAAGGTACGGCTTTTTTAGTGTATTCTCCTCCTTACTGGCAGAATGAAAACTTATCAGGTGAGTCGGAAAAAATTTACGATGAACTATGTTATCTCATGTACGATGTTCAAGATTTGACTAGGCAACATGTTCATTATTTAGAAAATGTAGATATTGTCAATGTACCAGAAGATGAAAGTGATGGAAAGTTTAATAATTTTTATTGCCGGCTTATTGAAGATATTCCTTTAGAATGCATAACCGTTTATTCTATTTTAGATAGCATCTTACAAACGGTTTCTAAAAATGACTATTTTGGCGAAACTACAAGTCAAACTTCACTATCTACAGCTGTAACCATAAATCAACCTCGTCAAAATTCAAAAAATGACGATAAGGCAGATAAAGCTGAACATTTAGTAAAAGGCGTGTTTAATGCATTGTGCAGTACTGATGCTAAGACGAAATCGTATCGTATTAGTTACGGTGAAGAATACGAAAACCATAAAA